AAAAAAGTGTTCCGGTTTTTTTTCTTCTCTAAAAAGATTGACGGCACAAGAAAAATAAAATTTTATCCGCGCACTAAACCGGAAGAACACCGTGTAAATAATCGTTTTTCGTTTATTTTGAAACGTCAATGGAGCGGCGCGAGATTCTAAACCAAACTCCACCATCACACACTAAATTCAATAAAGACCAACAAATTTATAACTTGTAATTTCGATCACGTTTCATCTATATAGGAGAATTATTTTTGAACCGTAACCGTATATAATTTATTTATCAAAGGAATTTTTAATTTATTTCATTAGTGTATTTATATTTTTGCCTTCTTTTTTATTCTTAGTCGTGTTTCTTGCATTTTTCTATTATTATTTTGTGTTTTTTTCTAAAAGAGAAAATAAATTTTTAACTTTTTTGGTTTTTTTTTTTTTAAAGAAGATAATTCCCGGACATAAACCTCTTTTATTATCTGATTGTAAGCTGCGCTATTTAATAATAGCTAAATTTCAATTAAATTAATGATAAATTTTCTAAATTAGACATTCAAGGAAAACAGTCGTAAATTTAACAATGTGCAAATCTACTTATTTTTGTTTTTAAAAGCGTTTGTTCTTTGAACTTGATGACTGTCGTAATACGTCATTTTGTTGATATTAGCATTAAACGTTGAAATACACACGGTATAATTTTGCCTATTAATTATGTCTCTCCTCTAATATAAACAGCGATTATTTGTTCACACTTTTGTAAACAAATTATTTTTGATTTCCAATTTTTGCAATTTTTTTTTTACTTGAATGATTGAAAAAAATGCTTAATTTTTTTCCTATATTTAGATTGAGCTTTAAATTTTATTTAAATTATTTAAATATTTTATTATTTTATTATTATTTAATAATAATAATAAATATTATTATTTTATTTGCATTTATTAATTAATTTCCAATTTTTTCCAATTTTTTCCAATTTTTGACGTTTTTTACATTTTTTTTTTACTTTTGAGTGCGATTAGAAAATATTAAAAATATTAAAAAATATTTATTAACAAAATAAATTTTTTTAGCTCGTGAATTAAATAATTATTCTTTTTTGTCTTTTTATGGTAAAATTAGTTTTAAAAAAATACATTTTTTCGTAGGCGTGACCTAATATTTGATGATATAATTGAGTATATCATTCATTGTGGCCTCTCTTCTCAAGTAACGAACGTCACCGTTTTCTTGACCCATTTTTCTAAAGCGACAACGAGTTTGACTCAATTTCCAATCGGTCATTCGCTTATTAAGCTTACTTATCTATTATCAAATAAATATTAACTTAACCAAATAATTTTTATTTGAGCCGAATGAACTCTATTTAAACTATAAATAAATAGTTATTTTTAGAACAAATTAATTTTAACTATATAGTCAAATATTAAATAAAATTTGTATTATTATTGCCATAATAATAATTAATTATTTACATAGCTAATAATTATAATAATTAATTAATAAATAGTCATGATTAATATAGTAATTTTATTAATAATAAAAAATAAGACTAAAAAACAAAACAATAAATAATAATATTCGAAAAGTCAAAGTCTCGAATATTACTAAATAAATAAATAGGTACTAATAATTTTAATTATTATTATAATTTTTATTCCCATTATTATTAGAATTTCCTTTTATTATTTTGCTATTATTTATAATAAATAATTTTTACATGGAATTCAATAAAAAAATGAAAAATATTTGAATAATTTTTATCATATTTTTGCTGTGGAGGAATAAAAAAAAATAAAAATAAATTTGTATGAGGAAGACTTATTGAAATCAGAAATATTTTGTGGCTTCTTTAAATATTTTCCTGGTTCATTCATCTCGAATGAATCACGAGTGTCTTTTCAACTGTCAAAAATGTTCCAACTGTCAAAAAGAACATTTGATATAATGCAATGCAAAGAAAAATTGCAAAAAATAATTTACACACTAAAGCGAATAGAAAAAATTTTTCTTTGATGAGCTCTTTAATTAAAAATAAAAAGAATCAACGTCTGATGCAGAAGGGAAGTGCATTCAAAATACGTAATTTGTCCTTCACTCGTTCCGGTATTGTCAAAACCATTTGTTATTTATTTTTCTTTTTTAACATTTATTTATAATTAATATTTTAATAAATTATTTACATTGTTATTTGTTTTATTATTTTGAGAAAGAGAGAAAAAAAAAGATATTTTTGTATGTAGAATATATTTCTTTGAGTTACAGAAAAAATGTTATTATCGTTTTTTAATTTCGTATTTTGGTTATATTCAATTGTAATCTCAATCATATTTTCATTGTAATTTTTCTTTTTTGTGCGAGTAATTAAATTGCAATTTTTTTGGGGAATTTATTTTTTGTTGTAATTAAAAGTGTACTTTATTTTTTGTTGTAATTAAATTGTAATTTATTTGTCGTTTTAACTAAATTGTAATTTATTTGTCATTGTAATTAAATTGCAATTAATTTATTGTTGTAATTACATTGCAATTAATTTGCGATTGCAGCTAAATTGAAATTTAATTTATTGTTTTGTAATTGAATAGCAATTTCTTGTTCAAATTAAATTACAATTTCTTGTTCTAATTGAATTATAATTTCTTGTTGCATTAAATTACAATTTTTTGTTGTAATTAAATAACAATTTCTTGTTGTAATTAAATAACAATTTCTTGTCGTAATTAAATTACAATTTCTTGTTGTAATTAAATTACAATTTCTTGTTGTAAATAAATTACAATCTCTTGTTGTAATTAAATTACAATTTCTTGTTATAATTAAATTAGAAATTTGTGATTGATAACTAAATTTCCATATAATATTGTTAAAATTCAATTTTTCTATAAAAATTAAAATCTAATTTGTACATTTTAATGAAAAAGTTTAATTTTCGAATGCAAAATAATGAAACACCACTAATAAAGTATGAAAAATTATTTATTTTACCATTAATTTACATGAAGAGATTTATATTTTTATTTAAAAAAAATTTTTTTATCGGTGATCCTAAAAATAAAAAAAAATGTGAAAATATTTAAAGACGGATATTTTTGAAGAGTACCAGCTATTTTTTTTCTTCACTAACGGTCAAGGATTTTATAAAATCACTTGTTTTTTATTAACACATTATTATGAATAGAATTATGCTCTATTTGACAGTTATTTTTTATCTTTTTGTTTATTTAAATAATTGTCAACCTCATGCGAAAAAGACTTTGAAAAATCTTTAAGCGGAAAATTATCTTCTATATAACAAATTTTTTCACTGCTGGTTTTTTTTGTCACTAAAAATGATAATTGATCTCAATTATTAATATTAATAGTTAATATTTTTGTTACAATTTTTATTTCAAACATTATTAATTTTAAAAATTTATTTATTAGGTATTTATGTTAATTTTCATTATTTTTATTATAAATGATTATTTTTCTATTTATTAATTTCTATTAGGTATTATTTTTATTTATTATTATTATTATTTGTATTATTTGTTAAAATTTTTATTAATAGATTATTATTCGTGTTATTATTTATTATAATTTATTTGTTTATTATTATTGTTAGTTCGTAAAAGTTCAAAGGCTCGAAATTATTGGTCAGTTGGGAATAATGATATTATTCTTGGTGTTGAAATTTAGTGGCTGTAAAAACAAAGCGAGAAACGAGCGCTATTTTCGCTTTGTGCATTTGGAGTTGACGAGCATTATGCAAAAATAGCGCAGGAGACTTTCAAATAGTCCGCGAGGTAAATAAGTTACTCACCAGAATTGCTGATCTCTCAGCGGAAGAGAGCTTTTCCTAAGCAAACTTTATATTTATGTCGAACTTCGCGATACATACAATTATCCTTTGACCTTTTCCTCTCAACATAATTTACAATATAAATCTTTTTTTCATACTATTTCTCAATTTTCTTAAAATTTCATTTTCTATTTTTTTCATTCAAAGAAAAAATGTTTACTTCGATTATATTCTCTTTAGAAGAAACAAATGATTTCATTTTGATTTTTCTCTTTGAAAGAAAAATTATTTTATTTTATTTTAGAAAGAAAAATTGTTTTATTATGATTTTTCTCTTTTAAGAAAAATAATAGTTTTACAATAATATGTTCTCTCTTCTTTTTACAATTCAAAGGGAAAAAAAATTTCATTTTATACATTTACATTCAAAAGAAAAATAAAAATACTGGAAAAAATCGAGAATGCACAGGTTAAAATTGGATTTTATTTTCAAAGTGTATATAATAAAAATATTGGAAAGAATATTGTGAATATAGAGGTGGAAATGGGATTTTATTTTCAGTTATGTATATATATAATATTTGATAATTAATTTAAAATTTTTATATTTGCTATGCGATAAAGTCCTCTTATCTCACAGATAGTTGATCTTTGATTTAAGTTGATTTTTTTTAAATTCATTTTATTTGACTAGGGATTTATTTCAAATTGATGATTTATTAATTGAGAGAAATACACCGAAAATATTGACAAAAAAATAGAAAATTAAAAAATTATTAGAGGAAATTTGTATATTTTTTTCTATTTATAGAAAACATTTTTTTAAATTAAAATTATCCAAAATAATAAGTAGCAATTTTCTAAATAATTATTTTCTGGGTAATTATCCCTTGTAAATAATTATTTTTCCAAAAACTTTTTATAATATATTTTCATAAAAATTTATTTTCTGAATACTTACTGTTTGAAAAATATAAATTGCTTGAATAATTATTTTGTAAACAATAACTAATGTTTAAATAATTATTTTTTAAACAATAATTAATGTTTAAATAATTATTTCGTAAGTAATTATTGTTTGAATAATAATTTTGTAAATTTGTTGCGAATAATTCTTTTGTTGATAATAATTTGTTGACGAATTAATTTTGAAAATAATTTTGAAAATAATTTTGATTGTATCGATGATTTTTCGCTGTACTATAGCATTTTGGTTTTTCTTTTTTTTCTATGGGTGGTGCGATGTACAATGCAGGCAAGGATGGAAGTAAGGTGACAACAGTGGTGGCGACTGCTGGAGCTGGTTCAGATCGTCCTCAGGAAGTGTCATACACGGACACTAAAGTCATTGGAAATGGCAGCTTTGGAGTCGTCTATCAGGCAAAACTCTGCGACACTGGCGAAATGGTCGCTATCAAGAAAGTTCTTCAAGATAAAAGATTTAAGGTAATTAATTCCCCTATTTTATTTCAATTTTTATTTTCTTTTACTTATTTATTTTTTGCAATATACAAACATTAAAATAAAATTAAAAAATCAAATACAAAAAATAATTTTTCTTCTACTAATATTTTTCCTTTTTTGAATTTCAGAACAGAGAATTACAAATTATGCGGCGCTTAGAGCACTGCAACATCGTAAAACTCAAGTATTTCTTCTACTCTAGTGGTGATAAGGTAATTTTCAATTGATTTGATTTTTCAAAAACAAAAAGTGTAAAAGATAAAATATTTAAAAAGTATCGACAATGAAAATCGATGCATTACTAAGAAGGCAGTTTGATAAAATTCTACTTTTTTTTATTTGCAAAATAGATTTTGGTCGTATTTTTCTATAATCTAAAATTCGTTGAAACAAAGTATTTTCGCAAAATTGAGTTCGATCTCGTTTGATTTCTTTCTTTCTTTCTTTCTTTCTTGCATTTTAAGTGGAGAATTTTTTTTATTGTAAAATATTTTTAAAAAAGTATTTTTTGGAATATAAAAGAAAAATTAATGACACTAATGTTTCGAACATTCAAATGAACGACTAATTGTTTATTTATTTAGATATTCCAACAATTATTTTTTTAATGCATTGTGAAAATTTGAATTTTATAGAGAAAACATTTTTTATGATCCGAAAACTTCTGAACGTTCAAATGTACGAAATTTATTTATTTCTTCTTCAAATTAGATTTTTATTACAATAATTTTGCGTCACTATGAAGAAAATTATTTTTTAAAGTTATTAAATGTAGAATTAAAGGTTTTAATCTTCTGACCGCGGGGTCATTGTAAATAAAAAAATAAAATATTTTTAATAAAAAGAAAATAATAAAAAAAAAGATTTCATTCTTTTGAACGTTCCAAAGCTGTAGATCATAATTTTTTTGTAATTTATAAAAATTAATTGTTAACTAATTAAATATTTAATCTGTTTCATGTTTCATTTTGTTAAAGTACATACTTATTGAAAATATTTTAAATAGAAAAAATTTCATTCATTCGAACGTTCAAAACTGTAGGAAAATAAAATTTTACGGGAAATAATCCTTTTAGAAAAATAACTGTTTATTTGTTAAATTAAATATGTTGCATAAATTCTATTAAGTATTTAATTTGATCCAATTCGTAAAGTTTGTTTTGTACAAATTATCGCAAAAATTGGAAAAAAATATTTTTAAAAAATTAGAAAAACAATTCAGTAATAATTTTTTTTAATGTTCACAAAATTCTGAACTTTCAAATGAACGAATACATTTTAAAAATTTTTTCTACCTGTAAAAATAATTACATTTTACATATTTTTTTAAATAAAATTTAATTCGGCTAAATTTTGGATATTTTACTTTTTTTTAATCATTAAAAATTAAAAATGTTATACTGCCCGTAAAAATATTCTAAATACAAAAAATAAATAAAATGATTAAAATAAAAGTTTTGCTTCAAAATTAAAAGAAAACTAAGTATAATAATAAAAATTGTGTATTAATTAATAAAAATAATTTATTAAATTTTAAATAAATAAATTTTGGACTAAATTTGTAAAATAAAGAAGTAACAAATTAAAATAAATTAATAAATTGCTTGTAAATTAATTAAATATAATTTTACCAATAAGATATTAATAATAATAAAATTTGACCTGACAAAATCTATTTTCCAAGTATAATTAAAAATCTGTTCATTCCTTTTTTTCTTCATCATTATTTTATTTAGAAGTTCTTTTTTTCCTGTTTCAATATCAGTTGACTGTTGAAGTATAACTTTTTTTTTATTTTTTATTACTTTTTATAACTCGGAGGATTATTATTGACTTTTATGAGTTTTACCTAATTTTCTTTCACGAGTTTTTGTTTCTCGGATATAGAGGATTTAGAATTATATTGAACCATAAAAAAAAAGTTTTAGATATATCCTTTTTTTGAGCCTTGTCAGAAAGTTTGAGCGATAAATTATATTAGTGTATAACAGTGAAAAATTTATTTTGTTTTATTTTCTTTTCTTTTGTTTTTAATAATTAATTTTGTTAAAATTTTTCGTTTTAAAGCATGGATCATTGTTATATTACTTTTTTTGTAGAACGTCTTAAACGCGACTAATCCAGTTTTTCACGTCGACGTAAGTTGGAGAGCGAACCCAGTAGTTAAAAAGAAAATTCCCCTTTAACCATGAGATCGGCCTAAAGTTTGCTTTTAGTGGCCACAATTGTAATTTTGTGGTGTAATTTCATTTCTTCTTTTCACCGTTTTTTTCGATAATAAATAACTATCGGAAATATTTACTTTTTTCGTATTTGAAATTTTTTAATTTTTAATTTTTTTTATTTGAGAAGAGAAAATTGGTTTTGAAAATTTTTTTCGTCATTCGGTATTTAAACTAGTTTTAAAGATGTATAAAAATTTTTTTTGATTCTATATACTGTTTTAAAAATATTACTTGTTTTCAATACTTTTTTTTAAGTTATTTTTGTTTTAAAAACTAAAACAAATTAAATATGAGTCTATTTTTTGAATATTTATAGTAATTCCAAAAAAGTTAAATTTACAATTATTAATTTGCTAATTCTAATAATTTTATTGTATATGAGAAATATAAAAATCGAAAATGGAGTAAAATTCTTCTTTTAACAAACTTTGGAAGTTTCGCTTATAATTACAGAAATGACAAGAGTTCTTGAATACAGATATTAATATTTAATATGTAATAAAAGAGCACAATTCTCTTATTCATGAAAGTTTTGAACGTTTAATTAAAAATAATAATAATAAAAATATATTCCCTCACTGATGTAAAATGAATGTTCAGAACTTGAAGCACATTCACCTCTCGCTAAACTTTTTTAGTTTAATTAAAAAATTTTTTTACAAAGCTAGTAGTTAACGCTGCTTTGCTAGTTTTAGTAATTTTTTTTTTGCACATAAAGTGTCTGTAGAGACATAATTTATGTTCGAAAAAAAAATATTGTGTTTTAATTAAAATTGACTCCGAGATTTTGTTCTAATTAATATTGAACTTTTTGAGGATTTTTTTTTGTTCTGTTTATTTTAATTTATTTCAATTTTTCTGTAAATTTGTTTTGAGTGATTATTTATTTTTCATTTTAGAAGGACGAGGTTTACCTCAATCTAGTCCTGGAGTATATCCCCGAAACCGTGTACAAAGTTGCCCGACACTACAGCAAAAGTAAACAGACGATACCAATCAGTTTTATTAAGGTAAGAATTATTTTTCTATTCTTTTAGAAAGGGGTTAATTTTTTTCAAATAAATAGTTTTCATTGAATTATAATCATTGCCAATCTAATTACAATTTTTTCGATTAATAATTTGTAAAAATTATGGAATTAATTAAAAATAGGAAAAAAATTTCAACTTAAATATTAATTATTTTGTCGAAGGTAAGAAAAAAAAATAAAAAAATTTTTATTTTATATTCATAATGAGAATAAAATTATACGTTTCTTTTTCTTTGAATTTTTTTTTTCTCTTTTGTTTTACTTAATGAAGAACTAATTTGTTTGATTTCTATATAATTGGAGACAATTTAATCATCATTTGGATAGAAAGTTAAAAAATAATTTCGTGAGGAAATGGAATTGTTATTAAATCGTGTAACTCTATTACTTCAATAATTATTATATATTATTATATATCGTTATAATGAACATTTGAAAAAGTGATAATGAAATAATTTTAATAATTTAAAATTAATAGTCATGTTTTTCTAATAATTTGTCTTTTTGTCATTTTCAGCTGTATATGTATCAACTATTTCGTTCACTGGCGTATATTCATTCATTGGGAATTTGCCACAGGGATATTAAGCCGCAAAATTTGCTTCTTGATCCAGAGACTGGAGTTTTAAAGCTCTGCGATTTTGGTTCGGCCAAACTTCTAGTTAAAGGAGAACCCAATGTGTCTTACATTTGCAGTCGCTACTATCGCGCTCCTGAATTAATCTTTGGTGCTATTGATTACACTACAAAAATTGGTAAATTCACATTGTTTTTTCTATTTTGAAAATTAATTTATTTAAGTGATTGCTAAATTACGAACGAATTAAAATTTCGAATTATTGAAAACACATAAAATTTGATTCAAAAATTAGTTTATAAATTCCTTTTCCAATAATTGTGTAATTAACTAATTTAACAAGTATTTTGAAAATTAATTAATATAAATTTTAAAAATGAATTTAAAAGAATTTTAAAAATTCATTTATGACAATTTCAAAAATTTATTCAAGAGAATTTTCAAAATAATTTAATAATTTTTGGGATCTTTTGTTATTTGTCTACTTTTTAGGAAATCTAGTTTTTTCTATGTAATTAACTATTTAATTTATTATATACAAATTTTTTTAATTAATTTATAAGAATTTACAAAATTAATTTAAAGGAATTTCAAAGTTGTTGAAACGAATTTAAAAATATTATGTAAAAGAATTTTTACAATAATTATTAAAATTATTTTTTTATTTGGCTATTTTTTAGAAACTATAGTTTTTCTGTATAATTAATTAATTTTAGTAATTAATTTATAAGAATTTTAATGGTAACTTTTAGAATTACTTTTTTTTATTTGACTATTTATTTTTAGAAAATGTAGTTTTATCTAGAAAGAAATTTTTTCTTTAATAATTATTATTGTAGGTATAGACTTTTAATTTTAAAAATGAATGATAATTTTCAACGGACTGAATAAAATTTTTCTTTCGTCCTTTTCTTTTAGATGTATGGAGTGCAGGCTGCGTTTTAGCAGAACTTCTTCTCGGACAACCAATTTTTCCCGGTGACAGTGGCGTAGATCAACTCGTTGAAATTATTAAAGTTCTTGGTACACCGACACGTGATCAGATTCGTGAAATGAATCCAAATTATACAGAATTTAAATTCCCGCAGATAAAGTCTCATCCTTGGCAAAAGGTAATAATTTTATTCACTTTTTTATTTTTTTTAAGGTAATAATTCATATTTCTTTCTAAAAAGTATTAAAAAAAATACCAACAGTGCAGTTTTCTTCCTATTTATAATATTTAAATTGAATATTATTTTTCAATAAATAAATTAAATTAATTTGAAAATTTTTCAAGAATTTCAAGTTTTACAAAAATTTTTTTCCTAAAATTGAGTTTAAACACTTTTTAAAAGTATTGAAAAGAAAACGGAAAATTTTTAAAAATGATGTTAAAAAAATTTATAGATTATTTCCTAATTATTTCTTAAGTGTCCAAAAATAATTTTTAATATCTTTTTTTGTCGGCACAGTAACTGTCACGTTTTTTTTTAATTTTATAATATATAATCATACATTTTTCTTACTGTTATTATACTCGATAATATTTATACATTCCTTTATTCATTTTGTGACTAAATTCATTGAAATTAAATTTTCATAAGATAATGAATGTATCATTATGAGTAATAATCGTACAGATAAAAAAAATTAAATTAACAATTCTTTTTGCAGAAATATTATTTTATTTCGTATTTGAGGAATTATTAAAACGTTCCTTTTTTTCGGTGTAATAATTAAAATTAGATGCACTCCATTTTCATTATTTTTTAACCAAGGACACACGTAATCATGGTTTACAGTTTATGCTACAACGAATGAGCGCGCCAAAGTGTTCCACGGAGCACCAAAAGATTAGAGTAAGTGGTACATATAATTTGAAATATGTTCTTACACAATATGGCTGCCAGAAATCTTCGTGTTTTGCCGATTACAAGGACTAACAAAACAGAAAAAGAAACTTTGGAAAAAAATTTCCAAAACAGAAATAAAAAAAACTCGATCTTGTAGAATTTTACCATTTTTTTGTGAGCTATTTTCTGCTAACATAAAATATTTTCAATAATAATATTGCTCTGGGGTAAAATGAACAATATCTATGGATTCTATTTATATTGACAATTTTTTTTTTTTTTTTTTTTGTTTAAAGAAAATAAAAATTTAACTCTTTTTTTCAAATCTGGAGGCAGCTAACAATTTACTAACACTAATAAAGAATTTGACGAATGAGAACATCACTTACTCTAATGTTTCGGTGGTTTCGCAAAAAAAGAAAAAAAAACACAAAGGAAAAAAACAATTTAATTCTCCTGTGATTGACAGTGAAAATATTTCGAACAAGTATTTGAAAGTATTTTCGTATGTAGGTGGCTATAGAAAACTCATCGTATTAATTAATAATATCCATTTATTATTCTCATTTTAATGAAGTTTCGTTAATCAAGTAACAAACTCTGCTATGCATTTTCTTTAATTTTCCAACGAAACTCATCTGTAAGCTTTCTGTGAGAAATTAAACATTAATTTTTGTTTACATCTACTTTGAAAGTTGAGTTACTGTTATTCACATGAATCGACAATTTCTTTTCTCTACTACTTTTTAAATGCAGGCCTCGATAGTATGATTTTTTTGGACTCCTTGAATTTTTTTAAAAAGTCGACTTTTTATAACTTGTTTTGCAAAAATGCAACTTTTTTTGCTTTTCTTCCAAATATTGAAACAAAAAAACCACTTTTTTCGTAAAAAAAAATTTTTATTTCGTTTTTTATACTGCGAAAAATAATTTTAGTAAAATCTTTCAAAAATTATTCAAAAATATTTTAGAAAGTTTTCAAATAATTAAAATTTTGTAAAATTATTGAAATTATTGCAACTAATTGATTTTGAAAATATTTCAATAAAATTTTAGAAAATCAAATTTTGAAGAATTTTAATTGCAAATCTTGAAAATCATTAAATTCTTAAAAAATTTTAATGGGAAATCTTCAAATGAAAATTTCTGAAAATTTGCTATATATATTAAAATATTTAAAAAAAAAACTAATTCTTAGACTTCTTTTTGAATTATAATTTTTTAAAGTTCAGTTCAGTTCAGTTATATTTTCATATTTGCAATTAAAATTATGGAGAAATTCATATTTGTAATTAAAATTTTCCAAAATCTTGATTATTTTTTAATATTTACCCAAACATTTTTTAAAAACTTCAATCATTTTCAAAATTTATTACTAAATTTCAATTATTGTAAAATTTGTTAATTGTATAAAATTAAAAAATCTATTATTATTCAAAAATTATTTAATATTATTTTTAAAAAACCAATTTTAAGAAGGTTTATTTAATATAAATTTCTACAAATCAATTATTTTAAATATTTTCGGTTACTTATTTTCAATAATTCCCCTGAACGAATAATATTTTTAAAAAAACATCATAAACAATTACAGTTATTTATAAAAAATAAAAAATTTTGAATTTAATTAATTGAATTCCCTAAGAACTTTCGGAAAATTATTAAAAATAATTGATTTAGAGAAGAGGTTAAATAAAAAATTCTAGAAAAAAATTAAATTTTGGAAGGGTTACATTTGTAGTTTTTAGAAGTAATTAAATTTTAAAAGGTTTGATATTGATATATTTAATTCTTGGGGAAAAAAATAACAACTGTTTAAATATTTATTTATCAAAAATTGTTGAAGTTTTGAATAATTGAATTTGGAAATCAGTGAAAAACGGGAAAATACAGAATGAAATTTTTGTAACAACACTGAATAAAATAAACGACCTTTTCGACTGTTTTCGCGCGTTAAATTCGATCCGAGGTCTGAAATATAGATTTTTATTTAAAAATACAAACAATTCCAAATGAAGAAGAGTAAAAATTGCAGAATAAAAAAAAAACTCACTGCACGTATATCAAATTTAGAAAATAGTGATTGGTTAAAAAAAATACTCCCACAAAAAAAATCAATATCGTAGAAACTAATCCATTTTGTTATTGTGATAAAAATTTCTCTCAGCAATTAAAAAATTCGGAAATTAATTCTTCTCTGCAAATAACGATTTTCCCTTTATTTTTTTCTACGTATAGAAACTAATTTGTTTCCCCAAAAATATTGTTTTCCTTTTGCATAATTGTAATTTTTTTTTCAAATTTTTAGGTCAAATAAATGAGTTTACAAAAAATGAAAAACACCTTTTTTTCTTCGCAGGTCTTTAGAGCACGTACACCACCAGAAGCGATGGAATTGGTGGCACGATTACTCGAGTATACACCGTCGTTAAGAATGACACCACTACAAGCATGTGCACATTCATTTTTCGATGAATTGCGAGATCAAAATACCCGATTGCCAAATGGACGGGAATTGCCGCCACTATTTAATTTCACCGAACAGGAATTGGGAATTCAGAAAGAATTAAATACAACTCTAATACCGTCTTATATGCAGACATCAGAGACAACTGGCAATCAATCAGAGGCCACGAGTGCTACCGCTGGAGCCAGCGGTAATTCTAGTGATAACAACGTCAACACCAATACACCTTCCATTACACAAAATACTGACCCGAGCCAATCAACAATGGCTTAAATCTTCTTTTCTAACGTTGCGTGTTTGCAAAGGATACAATTTTTATTTCAAATAACCCTCCCCCTCTCCCCCATCATAATCATCGAAAAAAAGGGAACGACGAAATATCACGTCATTCTTTTTTTTCTCCAAAAAAGAAAAAAAATGTCCCAATTTTCCCGAAATGTAAATTATATAAAAGAAAAAAAGAAAACTCAACGCCACTCCGATGCAGCGCGATTGATTTTGAGCCCCGCCTGCAAATCTCAAAATTCCTTCCAATAAGATTTAAAAGAAAAAAGAAAAATATGCTCTCGTCTCGTTTTGCACGCACGCCCAGCTCAATGTCAAATTGCGTGATCGGTAGTATTAGTTCAGTGTATATATATATATGAAAAAGAAAAAAGAATTAAGAAAATGGCAAGATTCAATTTTGATTCGAAGTCTCTAACGATAACGGCTAAAAAAAAAAGAAAGCGACAACTATTCGAGAATTATATATTTAATCCCCTTTTTTTGTCAACATTGTAGAGTTTAAATAAGTCGCTAGAAAAAAATTCAGACAAAAACCTTGTACACGCAAAAAATCTTTAATTGCATTTTGAAATTTTGTTCAATTCTAAGGAATGAGAAATAATTTATGACATTTCTTGATTTTAAGAAGTGAAATTCACATAAATTATTCAGAAAGAAAAAGAAATTAATTTTCAATATTTCAAATATGCAAAAAAAGAAAACTGACTTGTGCAAGAAATTTTGAATATTGTCACACACTTTTCTCAAAGATCGAAAAATATCTTCAAATTTTCTTTCTTTTTCTACCTTTTCTCTAAATTAACGATTTCCAAAATGACTAATTTATTTGGGAAAGATTTTTTTTCTCTAATTCTTTTTTATAATACTCTCGAAATTTGTTTTTAAATTCATTTTTCTATTTTATAAATTTGATGAAGTAAATTTTAATTTGAGAAATATAAATTCAGATTTAATTTTTAAAAATTGAAAATTGAATATGAATTAAAAATTAATAATCTATAGTAAATAATAAAATTCCGTTGATACGGCATTAAATGATTTGTCACAAAAGACAAATTGTGAAATTGTTTCTTTGTAAATTCGTTTTTAAAAACAGAAAAAAATACGACAAACTTCTACTTGCATTAAAGAAGTGATATTTAAAACTTTTTAAGAAACGAATTTTTTGCTCTAACAAAACGTTTTTGAGAAAAAAGTGCATGCAATGTTTTTTTGAAACAATTTTTAAAAATGCGACATGTTTAAACTAAGGGAATGACTCTCTCTCAAAATTCAAAGTCGACCTCGAAGATTTGTCTGTTTATGCCTTATCTTGTACATAGACTACGGGTTTTTTTTCTCCCTTTTGGCAAGACGTGAACAATTGTCTTTTTTTGTACATTATCCACTAGCCTTGTAGCCTCGGTCAAAATATCATTTTTTTTGCTGGGAATAAGACACATCTTATTTTCTTTTTTTTCTAAGGTATACAAATTTTAGCACATGAATGATACTGAAAATTGGAAAATTTTTAAGAATTTGAATAATTAACGTTAAAGTTAATTATTACTTAATTTGAAGAAAAATGATTTAATTTGAAAAAAGTGATTTCATTTCTTTTAGAAATTGATAATTGAATTTTGTAATTTACAAATTAATAATAAAATGAATTTACTAAATTGATTTTTTAGAATAATTTTAAGTAAATATACAAATTCTTAAAATGATAAGTGATTAATGTAAAAAAATTAATTATTGGCTCGCATTTCAAAAAAAATTAATTTTTGGAAATTAAATATAATTAAAAAATTTGTCCATAAAGTCTATTTCTTTCAAAAAAAATTTTCTTCTGTACTTTGTTTATTTCTCTCTTCTAGATAGAAAAAATGAGTTTCTATTTCTTCCTTTTTTCCCGTGAGAGGGAAATACAAAGGGAAAAAATGTCGAAAACACGAAGAAAAGAATAAATTCATACAAAAAAAAAGGTTTTTAATAAATTTTTTCCAATTTTCTGCATCACTGTTTTTGAAATAAAGCAGATGGAATACTTTTTGAAAGAGAGGGAAAAAAGTGCCAGAGAGTTTGAGCAAGAGAAAAAAAAAGAAGCGAGAAAAGTATAAAAAAAAGAACTGGATCAAAGAGGTGAAAAAACCTTAGGATTCATTTTAGATTTTTATCCATGTTGATAGTTTTCATTAAGATTTTAACAATTTACTTCTTTTTTTTAAATGGACACAACTTTACGCAAGTTTTGTCTACAAAAAAAAATTATTTAATCTTTCCTCCGATCGCATGAAACTTTGAATCATTTCAAAGCTTCGCTGTATATTTTTAATCGTATAAACACAACACGTACACTATATTTTCTTCTTCTTCTTCTTTAAAATGTCAATCACTTTTTCTACGGCTTTTGGATCTCAAACGTACTCGCTGGAGACTTTGTGATATTATAAAAAAAAAATTATTTTATTCATTAACATATTAATAGGTATAATAAATTGTCGAAGAAAAAAAACAAATTTCAATTTGTAAAAAAAAATGAAATGAAAACAATGTAAAGCAACTGGCTTTTCGTCTTTAGTAGTAAAATTAATTTTATCCATTTAACCACAATTTTTGACGAGAAGACAAATTTTCAATTTATGTAAAAAAAAAAATAATGAAGCAATCGTCTTAGTGCAAACCAACAAGAATATAAAATAATTAACAAATAATTGTACCAAGCGCTCTAAATAGAGAAGACACATTGAAATTCTTGTTGAATTTCAAAAGGCAGCGAGAAAAACAAATTTTTTGAATATGAAACGTTTTAAATAACGACGATTACAAAAAAGAGTAGAACACATAAAAACACACACACACACGACTCGAATATAGAATGTTGATTATTATTATTTATCGTAATTATATGAAGTATAATAAATGAATTACTTGATTAGTAATAAATCCCTATGTACTTTATTTAAGAGATAATAATAACGCGTGATATCGTTGTATAAGTTTTTGGCGACTGTGATAAGCCTTGATTTTTTTTTCATTTTGACTCATATTTTAATATTCAAGGCAGTCACCAACGAACAGCGCAGAACAAACCGAGAAGACGATTTATTTTTTCGATCGAGTCGATCGGCTTTTTTTCTTTGCTTTAATCGAGCAAAACTTGGATTTTACATAATTGTAATGTAAAAAACCAACATTTGGGACAATGGGGAAGGGGTAGGGTGGGGATTTTTGAGGGAAAGGGAAAAGAGCCCGTGTAAAAAAACCGAAAGTCTATATATATATATAAATAAATAAATAAATAAATACTTTATATAAATAATTATAAATAAATGAATAAATATGTATGTATATACTTATTATACATGTATTATAATATTATACATGTTATACGGTGTATATAATATATTATGTAATATAATATATAAATATAATATATAAATATATTATAAAAAATATATTATACATAATATAATATATTATAATATATGTATATATACCTACATATATATTTAAAGATAATTTTAATAATAGTAATTATTAATTATAGAGACGCTGCTGTTGTGTAAAGAATTAAATGAAAAACGAAAAATGCGATTTAGAGAAAATTAAATAATATTATTCCTCACTGCTCGAGGTTTTCGTTGCCTCCGTTTTACGATCTCCGACTCTCCTTCGCTCCACGTCATTTAGCTTCTACTTCTTAAAAAAAAATATTAATAAAAAATGAAAAAACTAGCGAAATGTAAGTGTAATAATTGTTTATATCATTAATAAATTAATTAAAGTTATAAATATATATATGTATAAATATATATGATATATATTCATATGTGCGCATATTATTGTGTACATGTGTGATGAACCTTGTGTGACTGTGCATAATGTATATACAGTGAAATTGCTCGTGCTGTAATTTAGAAGCTAAAATAAACAAAATTACAAAAACCTTTGGAATAAATCAGGAATTTATTGTTAAATATTAATAATAGTAACAAAAACTTTGTAACTACTTTCAAGTAACAAAAAATTGTTATTAATACTGACATTGTTATTGTTATTATTATTTTTTCAGTTAATATCTTTATTATTAATATAAATTAATTTTTTCTCAACTCATTTTCTCAAATCATTTTTTTCAAAAAATATTGCTTTTTTTAAGAATAATAGGAGAAATTACGAATAATTAAAAATAATAATACTTCGATTAATAATCCTAATTCTAAAATAAAAAAATAATGATTAACGAATCTTTATTCGTTAATTTTTAATAATTATTTTTTTGAGTAAAAAATGTAAAAAAGAGAATTTGGTAAATTTCCCTAAACCTAAATTTTAGGGATTTTTTTAGAGAATATTATTTATTTAGAGAAATAAATTTCAAATTAAGAAATATTTTAAACTATACGAATAATCTTACGTAAATTATTAATTAATAAATATTTAATAAATAATTGAAATGCAATTATTATAAATAAATTCCTGATTTATTTCATTTTGTGCACTTTTGTGAAATTTTGAATTTTGTTTTTTAAGATATTGTTTTTCCTTTTATAATCAAACACGCGCTTGCTTTAAAGCTGTCATACAAAGTTGCAAAAAAAAAAAAAAATAAAATTTCTTTCGACTCGTGTCATTGACGTAGATGATAATATACGTCACTTTGTGATGAACGATTATAATTTCTACGGAATTTATAACTACATAAAAATGTTAATAATATAGTATTTAGACATTCCTCGCGAAATTTTTAATTTTTTCCATTTACATTTTTTTGGTGAAAATATTTTTCTTTTTTTTCGATATTTTTCTCCTGTAAAAGATTTTAATTCTTTAAAATTGTTTTTATGTATGTAAAAAAATTAAAACGTAATTTTGAAAAAAAAATAGTAACAAAAATCCATAAAAGTGGAAAAATTCTAAATTTTGAAGTTAGCATTTAAGTTTAAATAAAGTTTTCAAGCCGAGGGATAAAAAATGCGTTCCAATTATAATTTTCAAAATACAAAAAAAAAGCAAAATTCCCCCAAGAAAAAACCTTTACAGAAAAACATATTTCCTAAAAGCAGAAAGTTTTAAAGAAAGAAAATTTGATAAAAGAAAAGAAATAAAAAAGTTTTTAAAAGCTTTGAAAAGGAAACGAATATCAAGTCAAAGAATATTTTCACAATTTTTTAAGACTTTTTGAAATGAAAATAATTTATTTTCTAAATATTGAAATTAAACATTTCCTAATTTTACCGACGAATATTTTGTAAATTTAAACCATTTTTCAATAGACCAAAGCGAATTTTCATTACGAATAAAACGGTCCACTTTTTAAGTATACATAATAATTATTATAGATAAAAAAAAAAATAAAAAGGAAGTCTTGGAGATTTGAGAACGTGAAAAGACCTCGATAAACTTATATACAAATCGATTAAAAAAAAAAAGAAAAAAACAAGAGTTGTATCTGTAAATAATACACACGAAATTGCTAAAATGCGTAAAAAAAGTGCTATCGGAAAATAACACGAAAACTTAGATATGTAATTATTATACTTTTACGATTAAATTTAAACGTGTAGGAAACAAAAAAAAAGTTGCACGCAGATCAAGATTCACTCGATGTTAAAATGCAATTTTAGAGACCAATTTTACCTGCGAGGTATAAAATTAAAAAAAAAAAAAACAAGTAAATAAATGATAATTTCACACATTCTGAGTTCCTCGCACTGTCGATTATATAATAACGTTTATTCTGTGTATATAGGCTTAAAGAAAATAAAAACGATGACAGAGTAAAATAAAACCAAGCACTTTAACATAAAACGTAGACTATAATAAACACTGTAAGTAGGCAAAGTCAATGGCAGCCATATCGTAAAAAAATGCGGAAAAATAATAATATTAAGACTTAAGCAAAAAAAAAAAAAGGAGAGAATTGTAAAAAATATTCGTTTTCTTTAGAAACAAAGCATTATCTTAATTTTATCAGAAACTGGAATCGACGATTTTGGCAATTTTTGTAAGTCGATGGAATTTTACTTTATAGAATTAATTTAAAAATTAATTTTTATCATTATTAAAATTATCACAAAATTTTCTTAGTTAAATTAATGGAAAAAAAAATTTTTATATCCAAAATTTTTATATACAATTTTTTCTAGATATAAAATAAATTTTTAGAACTGACTAAATTTTTGGAAAGATTAACTTTTAGAAAAAATGTACTACAATAATTTTTAGACAAAAAATAAAATTTAATTAATATTTTTATTTCTAATTTCTAGAAAATTAGAAAAGTTTTTAATTTCATGAAAGAAAATTTAATTTTTCCATTTTTAAAAAAGTAATTTGAATTTGATTTTTTATATAAAGAATGAAACCTAATTTAGAGATTAAAAATTTTTTATTATATTAAAAATTGTAACTAGATTATTATCGAATTGAATAGATTTTCAATGTAAAATCTAATTATCAATTAATTTTTTTATGGATAAAATTCCTTCGAACGAATGCAATTGAAAAAGGAATTTAATTTTTTATTTAAAAAGCGTGTGTGGTTTTATATTGCAATATTATTTCTTACATTTTACTAATTTAGTTAATAGTTTTTTAATTAACCTTCTATGTAAACGATTTTAGTATATAATTTATTTTTTTTCTGAAGAAAAATTGCAAGTTAAATTATTATCTTGTTTATTAATAATTAACTTGTCAATTTAGTAGAGAGAGACTGATAATAAATAACAAGTTAATTATAAAAATTTCGAATGTTAACAAATTTGATAAATTTCTACATTTATTATTAATATTAGCTATTATTTTATTCTTTAGAAATGTAAAATTATAATTCTAAAAAATTTTGTAAAAACTATTTTCCCTTTTTATTACTTTCTTTCTCACTTGACTTTTCTCTCTTTTTTTCTTTTTTATTTACGAAAAAATAATTCGAATGAAAATAGGATTCTTTTTAATAGTTTCAAAGTAATTTTTTTCCAAAAAATAATTTACATATTGTCGGTTCCAGTCGATGAAAAAAATAATTTGAAGATATTGATGAAAAAAGAATTCATTTTGAAAAATGAAAAAAAAAATTTCAAGAAGAAAATTTGATGTTTTTTGTAATTGAAAAACATCTTCTTGAGAATTTTTCTTTTACTTAAATACAAATTTAATTTCAAATTTTCTGAAATTTTGTGAAAAGAAAAAAGCCATTGCGATAAGTACCAAATGTGTAGTTAAAGATTATAAGATTCGCAATCACCCCCCTAAACTATACTTGTATTTATGTCGTTTTTTTGAAAAAAAAAATAAAATTATCGACCAAATTAATTTCAATTTCTAACAATTTTATTAAGTAGATCACTGGTCGATTAAAAATATCAATTGTATATTAAAGGGGGGGCGAAAAAGAAACAATTCCTCTCAATAGTGTGAAAATCATTTCACAATTTTGTCTCGAAGAAAATCTCGAGTTTTGCGTTTCAAAAAATAAAAATAATAATAATAATAATAATAAAGCGTTAGGATCTATGGATCATGCGCGCAGTGCGAGGCGGCAAATTTGTAATCTCAATTTGCCACTTTTTTTCATTTTCAGAAAATTTTTTTTTATAGAAATTCAAAAAAAAATATTCGATTCTCAAAGAACAAGAGTAAAAGAAGGTTTTGAAAATATTAAAAAAGAATTAAAATTTTTTGAGAGCCTAAGCCATGAGAAATAATAACCTAGCGAAAATTTTTCAGTGAAAAAAAAATCAATCGCTTCTAGTTGTAAAATACAGGACAAGGAACCGATTCCTTGACGCCCATTGTTGAACGCACTATATCAACAAAAAAGAAAAAAAAAACCAATAAAAAGAACAAATAACGAAAAAGTTTTTTTTTCCCAAAAAAAAACCCTAAACAAAATATATATATTTGTGACAATGAAAAACGACGAACTAAAAAATAAAATTTTTTCAAAAAAGAAAAAATCGTACGAGAAAGAAATCCAAGTCGAATTATAAAAAAATTTTGGATAAATCTTTATTCATCATGATTGTATGATATTAGATAAAATAATACCTATATATATTAGCGACGCAATGAAAAAAAAAAAAAAAATATTCGCTACGAAGAAAAAAAAACAAGAAGCCTATATGAGATAATTACGTGTGAATGAAAAGAATGAGAGAAAGAGAGAAACAGAAAATTAGCGAATATTCGTGGAGAGAAAGAGAGAGAATTATATAAATATATAAATAAATGGTGTTCGTCCATTTTTAAATTTTGGACAAGAAATAACTCCATAAAAATTATATATGAGAAAGTAAAATGATCGAATGAAATAATTTGAATAAATGGAAAATATCGTAATTAAAAGAAAAGAGCATATTATACATTCACAAATACATAAATATAAACATGAAAATAATTATATAAATAAAGGAAACATGACAATTTTTATGTATATGTGTTTGTATATAATTATTAAAAAAAAAATTACACTAATTATGCTAATATTGTAGCGAATATTATATAAATATATATAAATTAATTATGATTACTATTATTATCATTATGATTATTACTATGTCATTCTACAAATATAAAATAATTATTATAAATACCTATCATGTTTTCTCTCTTTTATTTGATTCTATTTTTTTATCATTTTTTTTTCTTGTTTTTTCTTCTCAAACTGAAACTCTTTCACACACACATATAGTTCGTACAATATTTGTAGCATACTATTTGAATGTGTTAACGCGAGAATCGATTGCCTCCGTTTATGGAGTTGCTATATATAATAATAATAATAATAATAATAATACCATTATTACTGTACATTTTTGTGGTTTATTTAACAATAAAATATTAACAATAACGTTATTTGAACTGCGTCTATTATCCGTCCAATATTTTGCTTTCGTTTTTTTAAAAAGAAAATTGAAAAACATTTTTTTAATTTCTGTTCAAATTTTTCTTTAATTAATATATTTTTTATAATTTACTTTCTAATGTTTCTTATAATGTTATAAATTATATATAATTATTAATTTTACATTTATTATTGTAAATATTGAATTGATGGAAATCATAATAATTGATGTGAATTGTTTACTTAATTGAAAAGATTTTTTATTAAAAAATCTTTTTTAAAAATAGAATTAACACCGTTTTTTTTTTTGTTAATTCAAAAGAATTCTTTTTTTGGAGGGGGATTTTTCGAATTCTATATAGTTTGTATAAAAATATAAACGTAAATTATTCGCTAATTAAACACAGCCTTAAAGAAATCCCCCTCAATTTGTATTTTCTAAAATTTACACATTACACATTTTATAGCGTGTTGAATTATTTATTTTTTATATTTAAAAAATATAAAATAAAATTTTTTTCTTCTTTTATATACAGTCGAACCTTTTTAAATGAGATTTCATTATTATTAAAGAATAGAATAAATCGAATTTAGTTACAAAAGATAAATTTTTATTGTTTTAGCTTCAAATTTAAATTATATATTGAACTTTAAAAAAAGTTAATTTCTTGAAAGTTTGTACAAAAATTAAACGAATGAATTAACTTAAATTAATTAAAAATTAACTTAAAAATAAATTTTTAAAGATGTTTAACTTTTTTGCATTGTTCTAATATAGTAAAAGATGTTATTTGTTTTTTAAAAAATCAATCCACATTTATTCAAACGATTATTTATGTCAAATGTGAAGCTTTTCGTCCATCGACGATGGACCTCTTCAGACAATATATGGAAACAATGTGGATATCTTTCATCACATATATAATTCTAATAAAATTTTACAAAACAATCATCATATAAAAAATCCGTTTTTTGCATCCAAAACGTTGAGATCTTTGAAAGGGTTATATTGACGGGTATTTTGTCCCTTTAAGGTTCTGAACAGGGAATAACACGTGCCTTGATATGACAGATAAATTGATTTATTTTAAAAATAAATTCTTTTTAATTTTTCGCAATTAAAAATTTTGCGGACTTTAGCTTTGTACATTTTTATTTATTATTCTTGACGATAAAATTATCTTCCTACGTATGTTGTCCCACTTAATAAGGTTCGTTTTGTATTTTTTTAAAAACTTAAAAAAAAATAATTAAAAACTTTACTTGCATTGGGAGATCAAATTTTTGTTCTTCTTGTTAACAATTTTCTAGCCAAGAAGAACTTTTCTGATCATTGCACCGCTGACCATTTCCTCCTCACCATCACGTGGATCAATGCATTTACTGCTACAAAGATATTGTAACAGTGGTAAACGATATTTGCCGCAAAAATCGACAAATTTCACATGTTCCACTCGATTATCGAAGAATATTCCTAAAAGGGAAAAAATTATTAAAATCTATTCAACAGTGTATATTAAAATTTAATATTAACTATATATTAATCTTCGTATTTTACAAATTATACAACAATATTAAAAATATTGAGAGTAACGAAGAAAAAAATTTTGAATTATTATTAAATATTATAGAAAATGATAAATATATTTTTCTAAATTAATAGAAAAAGAAGGAAGAAAAAATAATTAAACGTTTACTTACCCTGACAATTAATATTTACGCATCGATGACCACTGTTCAAGTATTCAATTAAATTTCTTGGTATCTCCTCGTCATCGTAGGTAATATCGTTACTTTTGACAACTCTCGCTGCCAATTCTAATAACGCAGGTGGATCATGGGTCATGTCCGATACAAATCTCACGACCAATGGATTATCTCGCAAGGAAAGCTTCAAATTTATAAATAAATTAATTACATTAATAATACGATAATTAAAAAAAATATGTAACTAAATTAATCAGAAAAATTTTTAAAGAATTAAAAACATTAACAAAATGAATAAAAATTAGAAAATAACTAGCAAATGTTATGCACGCGAAACGTGATATTCTATTTCAATATTTTCATACTCAAAATTTTAAAAATTCACTTATTAATTACATAATTAATTATTCTTCTTTATTAGTAAAATTCTTAGCAGGAATTCAATTATTTTCTAAATCGATTATTTTCATAAATAATGAAATTCTTTGCAAGAATTAAATTATTTTCAATAGAATTTTAAACAAATTTATTGAAAGAATTCAATTATTTTCCAATTTTTTGATAAATACTTCGCAAGAAAAAAATATTGCAAACAAAAACAAACTTCAAACTGCGAACATTTTACTAGAATATAACGATTATTAATATGGAATAAAGATTTAAATTTTAATATTATTATTATTTGTTTTTTGGTGCTAATTAATAGTAAATAATTCTTGTAGATTTTTTCGCAATGATTACGAATTTTTGTCTCTAAAATCGTCCAACACGTCAAGATTTTGAGTAACTAGGTTTAATGTCTAAAAAATGGCTGTTTTGTCTATTTTTGTAAATTTTTTCTGCAATTTTTTGAAGTGGAATAACCACCAGCGCATTATCAGATTTAAAACACATTTTTAAAAATTAATTTACGATATTTTTCCTAATTTCTTAATTCAAAAATCGTAAATTCTTAAAATTTAATTCTTAACTTAAAGAAGTTATGAAGTTTTGGATTTATATTATTTAGCCATTTAGAAAAAAAGTTTATACGTTTAAAAAATGTTATTATTTTTATTTATTACCTTTTCTTGTGTACACTCCGATTTTTTTGATCTTAACAAACAGTTAAATGTCATAAATTCAAAATATTCATAAATTCTTTAAAAATCATCTTAAATTAAGTTTTAAAAATGAATATTAAAGCTGAGAATGCGTACTGTAAGATACCGTTTTTGAAAATTAAAGAAAAAATTAATAAAAATGTCCAAAACAAACATTTTTGGAACATTTAACATAGAATTATTCAAAATCATGAAAATCATGTCGCTGAAGACGCAGTTGAAATCCACAATGTTGATCAACGAAAAAAATTTAAATAAAGTGTTTGAACATTATTTTTAATGAATATACAACTATTATTGTTAAAACAAAAAAAATCTTCCTCTTTAATATATTTTCGTGTCACATTCTTACGGTATTATTAAGTAATATTATTATTAAAAAATTTTTTCCTTGATCAACGATGAGGATTTCGACTTGGTGTTAAGTTCTAAAAGTTCAAATGAACAATTTTTTGGTTCCTTTTTTTTAAAATTTGAATTTTAGTGCAAAATATTCAATTGCACAATAAAAAAATTAATTATTCTCTTAATAAATGTTAAATTTATTTTTTAACTTTTCATTAAAATATTGGAAAATATCGAAAAGAAAAATTGAATTTTATTTTGTTTTTTTTTTCGTTCATTTGAACGTTTAAAACTTCAAAGATATTAAAAATCTGTGTTATTATTATTATTTTTATTTTATTTTATAATTTAATAAAAAGTGAATTAATAGTAAAAAGAGACATAAGAAATTTAAATAGTTATTAATTAAATTTCGTTATTTAACTTTGCTTTCATTAAATTTGATAAATGAATTAATCAAGAATAGTGAAAAAAAATGGTTATTTAATAAAAATGTAAGTTTAAATAGCCGAATACCTCTGTGAGATTTTTAAGTGTAATGATTTCAGTCGGAAGTGTTCGCAAATGATTCTTATGGAGTAATAACGATTTTAAATTCTTTAAATTCGCTATTGAACTAGGTAGGCCTTCTAGCATATTATCACAAAGTACCAAAGCTTGCAGTGCGGTACATCTGCCCAAAGTTGATGGAACTTCCGTCAATCGATTTCCTCCCATGGACAATACTTGTAATCTAAAAATAAATTTAGTTATAATCAAACAAAGAAAACACCTTCTAATACTCCGTAGAATAAATTACTTATTAATTATTATTTAAAAAAGCTTACTAATGTAATTTTAATAATTTAATAATAATAATATTAATAATAACAGATTGAATAAATAATTTTATTTTTACAAATATCGTTTCCTTCCGTCTAAAGTAAATTATTTCATTACCGTTGCAATTTCCAGAGATCCTTATTAATTTCAGAAATAGAATTGCCACCGAGATAGAGGAACTTCAATTCGACAAGATCAAGAATTTGTTCAGGAAATTCAGTGAGTCTGTTACCACTTAAATTGAGTTCCCTTAAACCCGGTAAATTTTCAAAGCCCTTTGGCAATGAACTATTCGTTAAATTATTATTTTTAGCAATTAAACAACTTATTGATAGAGCACCAAGAAAATGTGGTAATTCATTGAGTCCACAATTCGATACGTCGAGTGTTGTCAAATTAATGAATCTAACAATACTTGGCGGTATTGTTGTCAAACGATTTTGATACAATAGCATTGTATCCAAATTTTCCGGTGAATTTGTACAGAGAAAATGTTCATTCAAAACATTTGTATCCAACATCAAATATGAGAGATCCAATGTTTTATTTCCAGATTCTGAATCTGAATCACTTGATGTGTAACATTCCATGTTTTACCTGTAAATCAAAATAATTGTTAATATTTTATTTTACACTTTGCAAAGATGTGCAATTTTTCGACAAATAAAAAAATATCCAATAAATATAATTAGAATAACAGATTCAAAAATTTAATTTAATTTGTAAATTTTTTATTTCAATTTCGTATTACTTGATTTGTGCAAAAAAAAATGAAAAATGCGTTTCAGGAGTAATTATTATTATTATTTAAATTGCAAATCTTTAAAAATACATTGCTATAAAGACTTAACACTTGAAACGACTGATTAATTTTCATCACTTTGGAATTTCTTTTTTTTTAAACAAAAAGCGCAAGATAAGAGAAAAGAATAGAAGGCAAGAAATATCAGTTTCATAATTTATCCTAAAAGTATAACTATACAATTGGGTGGTTTTTTGTTTATTTTTCTGCAAAACTCTAAAATGGCAATTTCGAGCATTTTCCTGTTTGCAAAAATAAAAAGAAGTTGAAAAACATTTTAGCAATTTATCAAAGCTAATGAAATAGAAACAATTGAGATATAGATATTGGGTTTTAAGCCCACACAAGAATATGTAACAATTATTGTCACATTTATCTTATCAGTTCAATTTCACAATAAATACAATTTTTCCTGCTTCTTATTAATGTTTCTTTATTCAATGTAATTATAATAATGTTAGAATATTTTCTGTATTTTATATTATCAAGAGAAAATATTTTATCCGAGAAAAAAATTGTAAAACTTTCTTTATAGGAATTGAAAATTAATTTTTGAATTAATTTTTGAATTTTTTACAAAAATTTGTTATCTTTTCCGAATTTTACATTTTTCTGCAATGATTATTTATTGTTTTTTTTATAAATAGAATGATTTCTAAATAATTGATACTTCAAAGTACAAAAAAGTTATTATCGTAGCAAAAAAGATTTATATTGAAAAAAATATAATTTACATTTATAAACTTTTGTTCAATTTCTTTAGTTTGTTACTAAAATTTATTTCTACCTATATTTAAAGTTAAAGTAAAATTTTTACTTTATTCACAGTCATACTTTTTTAGAAAGTTATTTACGTAAGCAATTTTTTTCCTTTTAGAATGATTTCAATTTTTTTCTCTTTTCAACAAAAATATTAATTTTCTTTTTTTATTGAAATTCATATTTTTATTAACGTCATCAATAGTTATCGTGTATACAGTTTAAGTTTTATTTTTTATTCCAAGATTTTTCTGAGAATTAATTTTTTTCTCAATTATCATCATTAAATCTAGAATATACAGCGTTATATTTTATGAAAAGAATATTTTTATTAAAAATTTATTTACTCAATTGCCTTATCATTCGAATTTTTACTAAACTTTTCTCATTTTGTAAAATAGGATTTAAGAAAAGAAATTAATTTTAAGTATTCAAAATTTAATTAGTTAATTAAATTAAATTGATAAACAATCTCAGTGAATTGAGAAAATTAATTAAAAAAAATAAAACTAATTAATTTTGCCATTTTGAAGAATTATTTTTTTAATAAAAAACAGTATTTTTATCAAGATTTACCTAATTTGGCATCTGCTTTATTTGATCAGTTAAGTACACTTGATAATTTACACTACAATGGAAGAACTCACTAATTTTAAATTGAAAAATAAGTCAACCATTGCAAGAGAAAAAATTTTTTTTCTCAAATAATATAACTTTTATTTTTTGTTATTGACACTGGGAATAAAATATGAATCGGCTGTTGAGACCCCCCATGATAAATTTGTTGTCTGTCTAATGTGATGTCTGTCTGGAAACTAAAGGAAACTAGCAAACTTTATGCTCCGTTATCAGTATCATTTTTAAGTGGGGCTTTATTTTTAAAGTGATCCCTCCTAACCATTTAAATGCGTTTATATCATGTTTAATTTACATATATTTCGCAGTCTCATTATTGAAAGCATAAATTATTGTATTGTAATCGTGAATTTTCATTTCTATTATTACTCTCTTTGTATTTAATAAATAGCAAATTTACTCATTTCTTTTAATAATTTTTTGTAAATCGAAATAAAATTTTCTATAATTGTTTAAATTTTTAATTTCATTATATAATGTCAAGTGTAAAATATCGTAGTTTTCCTATAAAAACTACCTGACAAATAAGTAAATATTTACTTTAGACAAGAGGAGGAATAAACAAGGTAAACTTTGCATTCACTAGCCGAGTGTGATTTCTCTTATAAAAAACAAAAAATAAAAAAAAGACAAATCAGAGAATTCGTATTAAATTGATACAAATCTCAAAAATTTATAAATTTAACTCAGCATGGAAATAATTTCAACTGCAACAAGTAAATTCTATTGACCCTATTTCATAAAAGTAGAAACACACTTTCCTCGTATTTTCAAGTATTTATTCCAAAGTTAAAAAAAAAAGAAAAAATCCTAACATTTTTTACAAAAAATCAAAAATAAAACCTAAGTGTTGATTTTCTTTTTAACAATATAATTTTTTTTTATTCCATTATATTATTGTAATAAAAACAATAAAAAGGTAGAAAATAAAAAAATGCACATTTTTGGGGAAAATAAATGTGCGCGTTTATACCTGTCATTTGTTAATCACGTCAATCACACAATTTCAACAAAAATCAAACGAAAACACTCGACGATAGCAGCTTTACAAAATTCTTCAAAACACATAATTTACATCTATAAAATATGCAGAAAATACGTTTTATAATTATAGAAAACTGGTTTTTACAAGATTCAGGATGGCAATTTTTTAAGTATAATGAGGTTAGGTAGAGTTGTTTACATTCGCTCGTGTTACAACAGAACCCGCCCATTGGCTACATTTATGGCGCGCAAATTTGAATCAATCAATGAGAAAGTGACGTCTATCGTTTCGATAGATAATTTCGACTCTCTTCGATATTCAGCTCACTTCAGAAGGAACGAGAAGGCGAGCGAGGCGAGCGAGGCGAGCGAGGAGTGCAAACAATAAAAAATGGCGCCTGGTGTACGTCAAAGACAACTCTTTTATATAAAAAAGGATCAAAAGAAAAACAATGCCCGTAAATTGTCAAAGTAAGTTTGATAAATAAACACCAATAAAATATTCCCATTCATTATCATTTTAAATTCATTGATGAAATGAAGGAAAAAAACCACCTTTTCGTACCGGCTAACCTATGTTTACAATTTTAGAAATATTTATATTTTGAAAAAGGGATTTAAAAAAATTTTCTTTTTAGATCTGAAGAATCATCGGATATTCGACTTGTATATCCAGGTGGTGATACGGCATTTAAATTATTATTATCAGCTAGGTTTTGCTCCGCAATGTGGAGTCACATAACAGACTGTGATGAGACGTACAATTATTGGGAACCTGTGAGTATTTATTTTCAATTGTTAAATGACGGGGGGAGTAAATAAGTATAAAAACTTAAAAATTACCTTAATTGGTAATAAATGTGTAGTTTCGTGTAATTTGTAAATAATTTTCCTTTCATTACAGAGTCATTATTTACTTTATGGTAATGGTCAACAAACATGGGAATACAGTCCTCAGTATGCATTAAGATCGTATATTTATTTATTAATTCACGTGGTACCGGCAAAATTATATCATTATTTATTGGAGCCAAATCCTGTTCTTGTTTTTTATTTTATGCGCTGTCTCTTGGCTGTGGGCTCTGCACTGTCGGAAGTTTATTTCTACAAGTGAGTTTTTATTTTTCTTCAAAATTTCTTTATAGTACATTTTCAGGGTTGCCACAGGTAAGGGAAAAGTCAGAGAATTTTATCAAAATTACTGGAAAAATATTAAATTTTTTGAATTCATAAGAAAATTCAGGACTTTGGTGTCTAACAATCTTTGAAAATTAAATTAAAAATCCGTTAAAATTATGTTAAAAAATAATTTGCAATTTCCATATATTGTCTGAAGAGGTCCATTGTCGATGGACGAAAAGCTTCACAATTGACTAAGAATTGGTTGAATAAATGTGGATTGAATTTTTAAAAAAATAATAAACATATTTCACAATCTTTGAAAGTATTAAATTAAATTTTAGGTGAACTTTCTTTTTTTCTTTTAATAATTTAATTCTCATAGAACTTTCTCAAAAATTATTAAAAATAATTGATTTAGAAAAGAATTTTACTTAGGAATTCTAGAAAATAATTGAATTGAAATTATGATAATAATTTTGCAAAGTAGTAATTCTTATAAATTATTGAAATTTGAAATTTTTTCAAATCTTAATTTCAGTGAAAAAGGCATAATAATAAAATATTTTTGTTTTTTAAATTATGAATGTCTCGTAAAATTAAAAAATTGAAGACAATATTCACAAATAAATGTAAAGGTCCTTAAATTTGCTTCAAGTCCGTAATTCAATTATTTTCAAAAGTAATAAAATTCTTCGCAGAAATTCAATTAGTGTTCAAAAATTTTTTTAAATTCTCGTCAAAATTTCAATTATCTTTATAAACAATAAAATTCTTCTCTGAAATTCAATTATTTTCCAAAATTTTAATCAAATTTTTGTCAAAATTTCAATTATTTTAAAAAATTTTCTCATTTTCAATATCTACTATTTTAATAAAATTTTCCGAAAGAATTCCATTATTAAAAAAAAATTTGAATAAAATTCTACGTAAATATTCAATTATTTTCATAAATAATAAAAATTTTTACAGGAATTCAATTATTTGCAAATTTTTTTAAAACTTCTTCGCAATAATTCAATTACTTTCATAAATAATAAAAATTTTACAGGGATTCAATTACTTTCGTAAATAATAAAATTAATAATAATAAAATAAATAAATAATAATAAATAATAATAAATAAATAATAATAATAATAATAATAATAAAATTCTTTTAGGAATTCAATTATTTTTAGTAATAATAAAATTCATCGCAGAATTTCAATTGTTTTTAATGTAATTTTAATCAAATTCCTCGAAAAATGTAATTATTCTTAAAAACTTTATTAAACTTTGTCTAAAGAATTGAATTATTTAAAAATTGTTGACAAAATTTTTTATAAGAATTTAATTTGAAGAAACATTAAATTAATAAATTATTTATTTTTGTATTTAAATAATTAAATTCTCGTAGAATTTACTAATAAAAATTGTTTTAAAAATGAATTTCAGTTAAAATTTTAGATTATAATTAAATATTAAAAGCATTATAAAGTGGACTTGAAGAATTTCCGAATAAAAAAATAACAACTTCGAAACATATTGTTAAAGTATCATCAAAAAGTAAAAATTGTATAAAGTGAAATTTATTGTATTTGTAATTTGTTTTTCTTTTCAGAAATGTATGTCGAGAATTTGGTGTTCATGTCGCTCGTATGACACTCGTTTTTCTATTATTTAGTTCCGGAATGTACATATCGAGTGCAGCCTTTTTGCCATCTTCGTTTTCAATGTATGTTTAAGCGCTCGAAAAATTTGAATATTTTTAATTAAAAAAATTTAATTTTTAATCCAAAAGTACGTTTTTTTAAATAAATATTTGTTTGCAGGTACTTGAGTACAGTTGCCATATCAGCGTGGTACACACGAAAGTATGAATTCGCTATATTTGCAACTGCAGTGTCAGCTTTACTCGGTTGGCCATTTGCTGCATTACTTGGGTAAATTGTTTTAGTGAAATTTTTAATATTCCTAATTTTATTTTTTTCAGGTCTAAATTTTAATTTTCCGATCCGTTGTTGAAAATTTGAATTTAAAACAATTGTTTTTATTAAATTATGCTTTTGTTTGTAAAAAAAAAAATTCAGAAGAATAGATCAGATTGCGAGTTGAAAAATTAATATTTATTCTTTTTCGAAATACAGACTTCCAATCGCACTGGATATGCTGATAAACAGAAAAGAATGGAGCAAATTCATTAAATGGTCTTTATTTTCGGCTGTTGTCATTTTATTGCCAATGATATGGGTGGATTCAATGCACTTTGGAAAACTTGTTATAGCTCCACTTAATATTGTTTTGTACAATATTTTCACTGAACATGGACCAAATATTTATGGCACTGAGCCATTTAGTTTTTATTTCATAAATGGCTTTTTAAATTTCAACTTTATATTTATTGGAGCTTTGATTGCTCCCTTTTTATTGGTGAGTCATTTTATTTTATTTTCAAAAAAAGTCATTTCTATTTTAACAAGTAATAAAAAATTTAATGAAAATATTATTTTAAAAAGGAGAATAATAACAAAAATATTATATTTAGATTTTAGCTTGGGCTGTTGTTCCCGCGAAACCTCGGCACAGTTTATGTTTACCGTATTATTATTCATTGGCACCACTTTATAGTTGGATCGTCGTCTTTTTTCTACAATCGCACAAAGTAAGAAATTTTGAAAAAATTTTTTAATAAACATTTTCAAAATATTTCTTTTAATTTAAAAATATTTCAATACATTAATTTCTTTATGTTTTAAGCTTAAATTTGTTTCTTTTACGTATTTCCAGGAGGAGCGCTTTCTCTTTCCAATTTATCCCATGATTTGCTTGGCGGGAGCAATTTCACTTGATATTTTACAAAAACTGTATTTTTTTGTTCGAACAACATTAAAGCCACTTCCTGCTCAAAAGCGCAATACACATTATTTACAATTTACACCGCATATCACAATTGCAGCGATATTGGTATGTGGACTTATGGGATTGTCAAGAACCTTCGCCTTACATCGAGGTAAAGAAAATATCAATTTTTTATTGAACAAAAATAATATTCTTTAAGTTAATAATAATAATAATAATAATAATAATAATAATAATAATAATAATAATAATAATAATCTTCTACATGAATAATCGTTGTATTCCGGTAATCTGTTCGCAGTTTGAAGTTAGTTGCTGTTTGCTTTTCTGTTTCCGAACTTTTTAAAAAAATGTCTGTTTAAATATTTTCAATTTTAAAATTAATGTATTGAAAATCATTGAATTCTTGCAAAGAATTTTACCAAAAAATTTTAAAAGAATAATTGAATTTCTTCGAAGAATTTTTTTTATTTATGAAATATTCAATTATGAAAATAATTGAATTCTCGCGAAGAATTTTATTAAAATTTTTAAAAATCCTAATTAAAATATTTTGAAGAATTTCTTTGAATTTTTTTAAAATAATGGAGTTTCTGTAACAGTTTTAATTGAAAATTTTGAAAGCAATTGAATTTTATGAAAAAGAATTTTATTAAAATTGTATTGAAAGTAATTGAATTCCTGAGAAGAATTTTAATGTTTATAAAAATAATTAAATTCTTACGAAGAATTTTACTATTTATAAAAATAATTGAATTGTTCCAAAGAATTTATTAAAATTTTAGGAAATAAATGATTTTTATGTACCTAAATATTTGGAAATAATTAAATTCTTTCTAGGAATTCTATTAAAATTGTTTTGAAAAGAATTGAATTATGCAAAGAATTTTACTATATTTATAAAGATAATTGAATTATTGCGAAGAATTTTACTATTTATAAAAAATAATTTAAATGTTTCGAAGAATTTATTAAAATTTTAGGAAATGATTGAATTGGTTTGAAGAATTTTTATAAGAAATATTTGAAAATAATTAAATTCTTTCGAGAAATTCAAATTGAAGTTCTTTTGAAAATAATTGAATTTATGTAAAGAATTTTATTAAAATTAAGCATATTCAAAATAATTGTATTCATCAGAAGAAATTTATTTGTTTTTGAAAATAATTGAATTCTTTCAATTTTTTGGCCGAATATATTTAAAAATTGCATGAAAGTAATTTAATTTTCACACAGAATTGTTTTAAAATACTTTTAAAAAAATAATTGTATTATTTTTAGAGAATTTTAAATTCTTGTTGAAATTGAATTTTATGGAAATTTTGAAAATAATTAAATTCTTTCGTGTAATCAGTGTAATTTTATTTAAATTGGATTAAAAATAATTTAATTCCTGCAGAAACTTTTAGTATTTATAAAAATAATTGAATTCTTGCGAAGAATTTTACTACTTATAAAAATAATTGAATTGTTTCGAAGGATTTATTAAAGATTTTGGAAAATAATTGAATTTATTCGAAATGTATTAAAATTTTTTTAAAAAATTGAATTCTTACGAGAAATTTAATTAAAATTGTTTTGAAAATAATTAAATTCCTGCAAAGCATTTTTTCTTAAGGAATTTTTAAGGAAATTGTGTAATATTTCCAAATATTAGGTCTTGGGTTTTGAAGGTACACACCTCAGGAATATTTACCACCAAAAACTTTGATGAATTTGCAAAGCGTTTCTTTTAAACAAATATTTATTCTCAAAATGAGCCTGTGGGGCAAACCGGCCATAGGATATTTTCATTGTATCACAGTTTCAAAAAAATTATTATTAATTAGAATGTTTTTTTCATTAAAATATTTACTTTCAATGAAAAATAATTATCTTCCAATGATAATTAGACCCTTTAATATTGTTTCTCTGATAATTTCAAACACTTTTTTTTGTTATTTAAAAAAATTATTTATTTAATTAAAATTCAATCCTGTATTATTATTTACATTATTACAACCATTGTTCACATGATTCTTTATGTTTGTTGTTATTGTAGATTATACAAATGCAATATTGTAGATAAAAAACCCAACTGACCGGTTTGCCCCATGGGGTGGCCGGTTTACCCCAGGGGGTGGGGCAAACCGGCCCGTTTGCAAATTTTTTTAAAGCTAACACAGCAATTAAACAATAAAAGATAAAGTATAGGTACCTCTGGGAAAAAGTTGCGCAATTAAATGATCTTTCAAATAAGCCATCGAAAAATGAAATCGGTTGATTCGTTTAGTCACAAGAGTCAAAAAACCGTAGGTATGGCCGGTTTGCCCCACTCTCCCCTAACAATAATAAATTGAATATCATGTTTCGCTCGCTAGCGTGCGTAACATTTGCTAGTAATGATAATAATTTTAAATATTATTATAAATTTATTAATTCAATTAAAAAAACTGTTAAATTTTTTAAAACTAAATGAAAAATTATTTAAAAATAGGTTATTACGCACCGATGGAAATAATGATGGAGACAAACAAATTAGGAATCGAAGGTTTAGTTTCAAAGGATGTTAATATCAATTTTTGCGTGGGGAAGGAATGGTATCGTTTTCCAAATTCCTTCTTCTTTCCATCGAATAAGTAAGTTTTTTTCTATTGTCAAAATTTAAAAAATATTATCAAATTCTATTGTAACACTTTTACTTTGAAAATCTCTTTATTGAAAACTTAATTTTAGCTGGAAACTTCAATATTTAGAATCAGATTTTAAGGGACAATTGCCTCAACCTTATTTAGATCATGAAAATGCTACGAGTATTATTCAACCAAATTTCAATGATATGAATAAAGAAGAGTCATCGCGTTATGTAAGTTATTAAAAAATTACTTAAAATTCTTCGAAATGCTCCACTTTTTAAATTAAAAGAACAATATAGGGGAAAAAATGTTAATATCATTAAAATATTTCGATATTTTTCAATAATAATAAATTTTTCAGTTCGATGTAGAAAAATGTCATTTTATATTTGATTTGGATCTCGGTACCGAACCAAATTGGGAGAGAGATTACTCTCATCAGCCAGATAATTTTCTAGTCATTAAATCGTCTGAATTTTTAAATGCCGCCAAGTAAGTATTCTTTAAAATGAAATTTATATTTAATTGTATTAAAATATATAATTAAATGTCAAATAAATTAATTTCGTTTTAGATCCCATCCATTGTTTCGAGCATTTTACATTCCATTTGCACCAAAAAAATTATGCACTTATGCTTCGTACAATTTATTACAAAGTACAAAGTTCAAGTTGACCACATCGTCCAAAGTAAAACCAACAAAAATACTATAAACTACACAATGATCGTATATTTACAAACATTTGGATGTGTACATTAAAAAAAAGAAGAAAAGAAAAAGAGGCGTTGAAAAACAGAACTCAAGACGTGTCACTTAGTTACATCTTTGCTGTGATTACGATAGAAAAAACAATTCAACGTGTTATTAAATGTTACATTAAGTCAACTTATTCCTTTTGTAATTTAAAAAAAAAATCTTTTTTACAACTGTGATTTTTTTGTACGTCTTCTTAAAATGTCATTATTACAAAAAAAAAGATCTGAAATAAAAGACAAAAAAAAAATAGATTTGTTTACTGGCTTTTTAAAAAGATAATAATCATTTTGATAAATGAAAATCAAATATATTTATTTCCATATTTGCAAATCAAATGCATGTACAATTTATTTTGCATTTCTTAAAAATTCGCTGTCGTTCACTAGAATTTCTACATTCTATCGAGTAGTAAAGTATTAAAAATATTACGTAAAATTCTGGTCCTGATTTATAATAATTTGAACGCACGTTCAATTAAGATGCTGATGTTTCTCTATTGTTTTCCTCATAAAAAATCAACTTTTCAATCCTTTCAATAATCTAATCAGTCTATTCAATTAAATCATTTCCACGATATTTTTCAATATGTTCATTCACAGTCGGTAAACAAAAAAAAATACATATTTTCCAACACTCATTAAATTAATAAATAATTAGAGGACTTTTTTTAAAAAGCCTTGGTAAAAAATTTTTTAAATTTCTAATACACAATTTTGAATTCTTTTTCTTTAGAGAAAAAGTAAATTTATTTTAATGTTCAATAAAAAATTTACTCCAAATGTAAATAAGTAATTTTCTTTTAATTATGCAGAAAATTTCGAAAAAAATGCTAAAAAAAAATTACATCTAGTTCATATATAGGGAAATGGTTGTCACCCATTTTTTTGTTTTTTAAAAGCTATTTACACTTGTAATTAATTCGAGTGTGTTAACCAATACTCACAATTATATCGCCACTGCGTTCTTTCTCTTCTCTTTTTCATTGTTTTGCGTTCTTTAGAAAGCAGATATTATTTTACAATTATTTAAATTAATGACTATCTTCTGATGGTCCAGAGCGGATCTAACTGACTCAATGGATCTATCACGTCAGATTTTTCCTGTGTTATGGAAGGAATACTTTGCGGTGTATTTGGCCTGGCCGATGATGTTGGCTGTCCCCCTGAACATTATATTTTAATTCAAAATTTAATTAATTGGAATAAAAAATTTAATCCTTCCAAAATTTAATCATTTTCTTTACTAATATATTCAATTAGATATTAAAATCAAATAAAAATATAAAAATAAAAGAATCGTTGTATTCCGGTAATCTGTTCGCAATTTGAAGTTAATTTTTGTTTTCTTTTTCGTTTCCTAAATTTAAAAAAAAAATTTCTTTTTAAATATTTTCAATTATAAAATTTTAATATTGAAAATCATTTAATTCTTGCAAAGAATTTTATCAAAAAAAAAATTGATAATAATTGAACTCCTTCGAAGAATTTTTTTATTTTATGAAAATAATTGAATTCTCGCGAAGAATTTCTTTGAATTTTTTTAAAATAATGGAGTTTCTTTAATAATTTGATTTGAAAATTTTGAAAGTCATTGAATTGTATTACAATTGTATTGAAAATAATTGAATTCGTGAGAAGAATTTTAATATTTATAAAAATAATTTAATTCTTGTGAAGAATTTTACTATTTATAAAAAATATTGAATTGTTCCAAAGAATTTATTAAAATTTTAGGAAATAAATGAATTTTATTTACCTAAATATTTGAAAATAATTAAATTCTTTCTAGGAATTCAATTAAAATTGTTTTGAAAATAATTGAATTCTTGCAAAGAATTTTATCAAAAAATTTGAAAATTTCTTTCAATTTATTTTAAATAATGGAGTTTCATTAATAATTTAAATTGAAAATTTTCACAGTAATTGAATTTTATAAATAGTTTCTGTCATGTTTTTAAAATAATCTTGTTTCATAATAATTACATTTAAACAACTGAATTATTGAATTTTATTAAAATTTTTAGAAAATAATTAAATTCTTCTCAGAATTTGATTACAATTTTCTAAAATAAATTAATTCATTTAAGGAATTTTATTAAAATATAGAAAATAATTGAATTTTTTCGAAAAATTTTATTAATAATTTTAAAAAATTTTAGAAAATGATTGACTTTTTGCAAAGAATTTTACTATTTATAAGAATAATTGAATTGTTTCGAAAGATTTATTAAAAAATTTTAAAAAGTAATTGAATTCTTTGGAAAAATATTATTTAAAATTTTTTTTTAAATTGAATTCTTTAACGAAATTTTTTAAAAATTGTATTAAAAATATTTGAATTTTTGCAAAGAATTTTACTATTTATAAAAATAATTGAATTGTTTCGAAGGATTTATTAAAATTTTTAAAAATAATTGAATTCTTTCGTGGAATTTTATTGAAAATAATTGAATTTTTGCAAAAAATTTTACTATTAATAAAAATAATTGAATTCTTGCGAAAAATTACCTATATTCAAATTTTTGAATATGTAAACAATAATAATTAATTATGTACTTAATAAGTGAATTTTTTAAATTTTGATTGTGAAATTATTCAAAAATTTATATTTCAAAATTAAAAATTTTTTAATTTGCATAATATTTTTAATAAATCGAATATTACGTTCCGCGCGCTAACGCGCGTAAAATTTGCTAGTTTTTAAATAAAATAAAATTGATTCATTATTTTAAAACTTAATCCATACTTTTTGAAATTCGATAATTCCTGAAATAATTTAATTTAAAAAATTAATGACATTTTTACAAATTAAAATTTTTTTAAATTTATACAAAGTATAAAAAGAAAAAAAAATTGCTAATTATTTTTCATACCTGGTGTAGAAATTCCATGTTGAATTCCCGATCCGAAATTATGGAGGAAATCATCAGAAGGATGATGACGTGTCTTCGTCATACTTTTCCCCTTATTTTTCTTAATCTCTTCGAAACATTCAAAAGTCGAACGAGTTGATGATAAAATTCCTCCTGTAAATTTAGCAATTAAACTATTAGCAATAATAAAAAGAAATTAATATTATTTTCCCTAAAATTGTATGTAATTTTAAATAATTTCTCTCTAATTATTGTCAAATAAAAATTATAAGTAAAAAAGTATAAAATTATAAGTTCCAAATTATATACGAAAAAAATTATCATTTTTATAAAATTAATTTAAATAATGTAATAAGAAAAATGATAAATTACAACAAATAAGAAATCAAAACAAAATAAGAAAAACAAATAATAATATGTAATAAATAATATATAATAAAAATAAAAAAATAATACATTACAATTTTATTATAATATAAAAATTAAATTACGCACTTTTCATTAAAGTATCTTGAGCGTGATAGAGAACCATTCGATAGCCAAATAATAACGAATCTTTGTCGACCAAGCCTTTGCGAAATTTAACAAGGCTTGAAAATACCAATGGTACATCAACAATTCCATGGCCAGCTCTAACATTACAAATTGCTGCCATTGCAATTAAAAATAAACCACTGAGAGTTCCACCGACGAGACAGTGAACAATTATTGGTTTCGGTGAACAATGTCTCAATGCTTGTTCTGACATGACGTCAGTTGCAAAGGCAAGCAACGAACCAGGAGAACTCGGAAAACCACTGTAAATAATTTTTATTTTATCTAAAATATCTTTCATTCAATTTTGTTAATGATAATTTAAAAAAGAATAAAATATTCGCATAACTTTGTATCAAGAGAAAGGACCAATTTCTTATTTAATATTATTTCAAGTAAAACTTGAAATTATAGCAAAATTAAAACCTGAACTTCTCTTATAATTTGGATTATTTTTTTATAGTCCATTTTTTAGGCTATTAACATAATTCTGAATAATCGTTGTATGGATTTTTAATTATTTAAAACAAATAAAATTTTGAAAATGGTCAAAAATTATTTTATTTTTAATTTTAATAATAAGGAAAAAATTTAAATTCTAAGTAACAAGAGAAAAAAATGTCGGCACCTAAGAAACTTAAATGTCAAAGTTTTGAAATTTCACAGGTCATCTCAATTTAAATAAATAAAATTCAATCTACTAAAACCGCTTTGATCAAATCAATAGCCAGGGTTGCCACAAATATTTAATTTTATTTTGCCCTGACTTTTCCCTGATTTCCAGACAAAATTTTCACTTTTTCCCTGACCCTAAAGAATATTCTGATTCACTCTAAAAACTATTAGAAACTCAAAAAAATGTTCTATTACATTTATTTACAAATTTCATTAATTGTAAAATTATTCAAAAACATCAATAATTTCTTTTTTAAATAAATATTTAATCATTATTATTTTTTCGTAGGAATTAAAATTCTTCAAAACATTAAAATTCAAACCTTATTGAAATTCAACAACTTATAAAAATATTATTACAATACATGAAGAAGATCGCCTTCTTCATGTTTTGTAATAATTTAAATTATCATAAAATTTTTTAAAATAAGTTAATTATTTACAAAAATCCTAAAAAAAATCCTTCGCAAAAATTCAATTATTTTTACAAACAGTAAAATTTCACAAAAAAATTCAATTATTAAAAAAAAATGTAATAAAATTCGTTGCAATAATTCAATTATTTTCATAAATAATAATAAATCGATAAAATTGAATTCTCATAAAGAATTTTGTCAATAAATTTTTAAATAATTGAATTCATTTGACAAATTTTAATAAAATTTTTAAGAATAATTACATTTATCGAGGAATTTGATTAAAACATTGTATAAAAAATAATTAAAATCCTGCGATGAGTTTTATTAATTATCAAAATAATTAAAATTTTCATAAAATAATTGAATGTCGAAGAAGAATTTTAATATTTATAAAGATACTTGGAATTTTAACAAGAATTTTTTTTTTTTAATTTTTGAATATAATTGGATTTCTGCGAAGAATTTTATTACTTTTGAAAATAATTTAATTCTTCCAACGAATTTTATTCAAATTTATAAAAATAACTGTATTTCTGTGAAGAATTTTATTATTTATATAAATAATTGAATTCTTACAACGAATTTTATTCAAGTTTATAAAAATAATTGTATTTCAGTGAAGAATTTTATTATTTATAAAAATAATTGGATTCTTGAAAAGAACTATGTTAAATTTTTTTAAATAATCAAATTCTTGGGACGAATTTTATAAAAATCTTTTTAAATAATTGATATTTTATGAAATTTTGTATTTTAAATATGTAATTGAATTATGTGAAAATTTTATTACTTATGAAAATAATTGAATTATTTCAAAGAAGTTTATTAAATATTGAATAATTGAATTTCTGTCGAATTTTGACAAGAATTTTATTAAAATTTTTAAAAATAATTGAATTTTAATGAAGAATTTTATTATTTATAAAGATAATTGAAATTTTGACGAGAATTTTTTTTTAATTTTTGAACATAATTGAAATTTTGCGAAGATTTTTTGCAACTTTTGAAAATAATTGAATTTCTGTAATCATTTGTAACTTTTCCAAAATCCAATTTTTTTTAGTATTATTTTTAACTAAAATTCTTCTATCAATCTAGTATTTATGAAAATTGTAAAAATTATTCATAAAATAATTTCCAAGTAATAATTCTATGATAGTTTTTGAAAAATTAAGTTATTTAAAAAGAAATTATTGTCAGAAATTGAAAAAATTGAAGGTTTTGTATTAAAATTCGAGGTAATTTCATAGTTTACGAGGCAAAAAGGAAAAAAAATTCAGAGTTTTCTCATGAATTTTAAAAATTCAATTTTTTCCAGTACTTTTAGTAAAAATCCCTGACTTCCCAGACCAATTTTACTTTCCCTGATTTTTCCCTGAATTCCCTGACCTGTGGCAACCCTGATAACAATAAAAATATTACAGAATATTAATAAAATTATTTATAATAATTTGTAATGATATGTAGAAACTTACTTTGTTGGCCAAACAAGAAATTGCATATGTACAACTACTCTTTCCACTTTTTGTCCGGAACGCGTAAGAGTAATGATTGTCTGAATGTAAGTTGCGTGATTAATTCGATTTTTCATTTTCAGTGTAAAGTCTCCGATAGTTATATTTTTCTCTTCACTTGTTGGCCAATAAATATCGCCGCTTAACTTCAAAAAATTTATTATTAAAAATAAAAATTATAAAATACAAATATAGAATATAATTTCCAGTCAAATCAAAATTTAAATATAAAATGAATACCTGTAAATCAGAAGCCAAACAAGCAATAACTTCGCTCTCCTGATCCCAGACCATAGACCAAAATGTTTGAAATTCATCACTTCTCGGAGCTTGTGAAATGATAAATGCTGCCGGTGTCCATTGAGTTACATCCTTTACAAATGAAGCATTTATGTAAGAATTCATTTCCACGCGATTCATATCGTAAGGAATGCAATCGATATTTCTATTCATTGACGAATTAGCCAAAGCGATCGCACATTTCTGTTTCTTTGCTTCTCTATCCTAAAAAAAACAAAAGAAAATCAAAATTAAAATTATTTTACTTTAAAAAAACAAGATTTTCATTTTATTATTAGTATTAAAATATTTTAATTTTATTTATTTTTCATTTGTTATTTATTCCTACCTCAAATTCTTTAACTTCCTTCCATTTGATATCAATATTCTTAGCACCACTCAATGTTATTATTAAAAGACTGTCGACAAATTTCTCATATTTTTCAATATCGATGAGAAATTTTTGTAAAATTGTTGGCTCTCCAAGTGGATCTTTCTTCGGTTGTACGTCCAAATACCATGTGTCCCAAACAATTTGCAAATTCTCCGTTTTATCATCAATCGATGATAATTTCGTATCATTACGAGCAGTAGGAATAATTTTCTCTTGGTTGACTTCCAAAGACTTTAATTCACTTCTCACCTCTTCTTTCTCATCTTTTACTATTGAAACTTCCGGTAATAGTGGCGCATGATTAATTGTAATATCCAAATCAGAGAGAAGATCAACATTCGATTTTTGTTCAAGTACTGCTTTATTCTTCACGGTATTTGTCTCAGTGCTTTGGGTTTTTACTTGTGTTTCATTTAATGTTGTATTTGAATTGTCTGCAAATGACAAAGAAAAATATATTTACAAATGGTTGTAAACAGGTGGTAAACAGGCTTCGGATAGACTTTAAGGAGCAAAAAAAGTCGCATTGGTCTATTTAAGATTCAAAAAAATGTCGAAAAAGTCGATTATTTTATTTACTGTTGTCACAAAATTCTTTTTTTGTTATTCCCTGACCTTTCAGTGATTTCTACATTCACTTATTTAGAACTTCAATAATTTTGTTACATAAATATTTAAATGAGGCATTTCACGTCAGAAATATCACGATTTGTAAAGGGTATGCCGATTTTCGCAAAACTTCGTGGGATTATAGTTCTTTATAAAAGACTTTTTTCCCCCAAATTTTTTCAAAAAAAATTCAAAATTGTTGAAGATACGCCATTTTGAATTTTAATATTAATTTTATAAAATTTTGAATTTTTCAAAATATTGTTTATGGATTTTTATGAAATTTACACATTTTTCAGGTAAAAGTATGTACATTAAAATACAAATAAAGTTAATAAAAAAAAATTAATTTTTAATTAAAAAAATTAAAAAAAATTTTTTCAAACTGAAAAGAAAAAATGAAAGAAAAAAACTGAAAAGAAAAATGTTATTAACATATTTGGATTCCTTGTGAATTCACCTTTAATTTCATAAAAAAAAATTGATGGAGACTCAACTGGTTCCGGAGATATTGCATTTTTTGTAAAAAAAAGCGTCGCCGCGCCATAGCACCATACTGCACAAGTCGCGTAGTACGTTACCGCAGTCGTGCATTGCTGCTGTAACTATGACTATTTTTTACAAAAAATTCAATATCTCCGGAACCAGTTGAGTCTCCATCAATTTTTTTTTTATGAAATTAAAGGTGAATTCACAAGGAATCCAAATATGTTAATAACATTTTTTTCAGAGAGGAGTAAATAAACAAAAAATTGTTTAAAAAAATTTTTTTAAATTTTTTTATTTAAAAATTAATTTTTTTTATTAACTTTATTTGCATTCTAAAGTACATACTTTTACCTGAAAAATGTGTAAATTTCATAAAAATCCATTAACAATATTTTGAGATATTTAAAATTTTATAAAATTAATATTAAAATTCAAAATGGCGTATCTTCAACAATTTTGAATTTTTTTTGAAAAAATTTGGGGGAAAGAAGTCTCTTATACAGGACTATAATCCCACGAAGTTTTGCGAAAATCGGCTGACCCTTTGCAAATCGTGATATTTCTGACGTGAAATGCCTCAAATACGTCTTATTTATTTTTTCACAAGAATTAAAAATTACAAAAAAATTAAATTTCGGTTTAAAAAAATTTTAATTTCAAAAGATTTAAAATTCAATTTCATCTAAAAATGACAATTGCAACCTTTCCTAAATTTAATTACCTTCTAGAATTTTTATTTCAATTTTTTCTCTAAATCAATTATTTTTAATAATTTTCCAAAAGTTCTTTAAGAATTGAATTATGTAATCTTAAATATAAAAATAATTGATTTTTAAAAAATTTTAATACAAAAACTTCTTAATATTTGTTTTTAAAAAATATTTTAAAATCATTTTTGAGAGATAATAGATTTTTCAATTATATATAGGTACTTGACAAATTTTTAATGTATGAATTTTTGGAAAATACCTTTTAAAAATTTAAATTTTAACAAATTATGATAGAAAAATTCAAAGAATTAGTTTTTTAAAAATTTTCTAAAGTAATATTTCAAAGATAATTGAATTTCTTAAAAAAAATTTTTGATAATTTAAATACTTTCTCATGAGAATGTAAATACTAATCAATTGTTTGAAAAATTTTAATAAAAAACTATAAAAGGACAATAAAAGAAACCGATTTTTCCAAAATTTTAATAACAATAATTCTCAAAAATTTTAACGTAGGTAATTATATTTTGTAGTATTTAATTTATCGAAATATGCAATTAAAAATATTGAAAATAACTGATTTTAAAAAAATTATTCCTAATGAAAAAATTCTATTTATTTTTTGCAAAAATATTTTAATATAATTTTCATTTACAAATTTTGATTTGACGATTTTTCATTAAATTTTTAAGAATCCAATTATTTTCAAAATTTACAATTAAAAATCTTCAAAATTAAATTTTCCAAAATTTTAATGAAATACTAAAAAAAATCAATTATCTTCAGTAAATTTTTAGGTACAAAATTTCAATTATTTGAAAACTTTTTAATTTATATATTTCGAAATTTTAATTACCTATCTTAAAAAAATTAGTCAAAAATAAATTTGAAAGATTTTATTACAGTTTTTTTTTGACACTATAAAAATCGAAATAAGTTGCATTTTATACTAAAAAAAGTGGTACCTTTTTGGCAATGTTTGTAAGAAAATTCGAAAAAGTCATATTATCCGAGGGCAATGTGAATAATTTATTCAGTGATCTTTTCCTACTAAAAGATTATAAAGTAAATAAAATGAAAAAAGATTTTTAAATATGAAAAAAATGTAAATAAAAAATATACATAAAATATATAGAGAAAAATAAATATTCTGTGATCTTTTTCGTTTAAAATAAATTATTGGTATATGAAGTAAAAAAAAAATGAAAAAAGTAAAAAAACAATGAGTAGTATAAATATAGAATAATAAGAATAGGAATAATAAAATAAGGCAAAATTCTTTTTACCATCATGAAGTTAAGAAATTTTCTTATCAAAACTGCTAATAACAAAAATCTAGTTTTATTTGGTTTTATTAAATAAGAGAAATAATTATTTCAAAAGTACCTAACATTAGCAATTGTTTACCAGAAGGGTCGTTTTTAAATATATAATGTCTCATGAAAATAAGAATATAAATAAAAAATAAAAAGATAATATCAATAAAAAATATAAAAAGTAACTTTAATAGAAAGAAAAGGAAATTTTACCTTGAGTAGGAGTTTGTTGAGTATATTGCGAATAAGCCGGATTAGATGTAGAATTATCATTCTGAGCTGAGTATTGCGAGGAAGATGTTTGATTTGTGGCGGTATTATTACCAGCGTTTGTATACAACATATAACCATCCTGCTGTTGATAAACGGGACTATTGACAGAATCCGTTAAACCACCAATCGCATTATTTTGCTGCTCCTGTCCCTGCAGTGCCTGTGTATTTTGATAACCCGAACTATATTCATAACCACCGGTTAGAGAATTATATCCATAACCCGGATGACCTTGATACGAATCAGTTGACGAACCAGAAATTTCACTCGTCTGTACATTTCCATAATTATTCCCATAGACTTGCGAATAGTTTCCAAACTGATTAACAACACTTCCAGTAAAATTCTGTTGATCCTGCGATTGTGGCTGTTGTTGTTGATTATAATAATTTGAAAATGAATTTGCCTTTGCATGACTTTGTATAATTTCCGAGTAACCGGGAATATTTTGAATTGTACTCGAACTTTGAATATTTTTAAAACCACTCGCATCAGTTTGTTGATAATTTCCATAGTTATTATAATTATGAACAATTTCATTTTGATTCTGTGAGACGTATTGATTGTTAATGTAATTTTGCTGATCGGCGTTATAATTTGCAGCAGTTGAATATTGCGCTGCTTCGTCGTAATAGGAATTACTGCTGATATTCACAGAGGGATTTTTCGTTGTTGCTGTTGAATATGTCGAACTGTCAGTGGCCGATGTATTCGTGTACATGCCCATGTGTTGATTTGGAATGTATTGTTGCGACAGGGTGTAATGAATACCAGGCGATGAACTCTGGGTATTCTGGATCAATTGCGACTGTAAATAAATAAATTATTTTGTTATGATATTTTTTATATTTTGAATCATTTTTTTTATATTGAATCGACAAAAAAAACTCACCTGCTGTTGATTGACCGGTTGTTGATTAATCTAAACAAATTAATTAAATATAATAATTTAGTTACTTTGTTGTTAATTTATTAATTAATAATGAATTAGAAAAGCATGAAGCTAAAGTTAGCAACGCTTTTAAAAACTTAAATGAAAAAATAATGAGACGATATTTATTACTTTTGCTTCAAAATCTAGTCATTTTTGTGCAATATTGTTCTCTAAAAATGAACTAATTTCTTAAACATTTGTTGACATTAAAATTGGAGATGAATTAATTGAAAAAAATAATTCTTTTTTTCAATTGTTTCGTTTTTAAAAACATTGCGGACTTTAAGCTCATTATTACAACGAAAAAACTCACTTGTTGTTGATTGATAGGTTGCTGATTAATCTGAAAAAAATTATTTAATTAGAAAAAAAATATTAATTTTAGAAAAATACATATATTAAAACGAAAGAAAAACTCACCTGCTGTTGAGGAATCGGTTGTTGATTAATCTAAACAAAATAATTAATTGGAATGATTAAATATTTTAGAAAAATATATTAAAAAGAAAAAACTTGATTGATAGGTTGCTAATTAATTTTAAAAAATGTATAGGGATCACAGTAATTAAAAAAAAAATGGTTGAAAAAGTGAATTATTTTCTAAAAATAGGGGACAAAAATTACATAAAATATAATTATATAAGTTGATTTAGTGGATTTAAAATTTTTAAAAAATTACAAAAATCGTTTATTTTATTCAGAATTATCACAGATTTAATTTTCTATTTTTCTGACTCTTCCTTGATTTCCAGACAAAATTTTTAACTTTTTCCTTTATTTCAATACTTCAGTTCTAAGTTTTTGTAACATTCAATTATTTTCAAATAATTTTTTCATATCTTTCTGAAAAAATACGATTATTTAAAAAAAATTTTTTAAATCCTTCTAAATATAAATTTTATTGTATAAAAATTTCTAGAAGTTTCCAATTCTTTACAAATTTTTTAATTAATTCTTTTCGGGAATTTACTTACTTATTTTCAAAAACTTTCATTTAAAACTTTTCAAAAACCTAATTTTTCAGGATTTTAAATTCAGTTATTCTACATTTCAATAATAGGTTAAAAAACATTTAAATACTCAATGCTATTTTTTCATAAGAATTAATATTTTAAAAAAATTTCAAACCTTCTGAATTTAATTATTTCTAAAAATAAAAAGAGTAAGTTTTTCATAGTTTAATTATTATCTAGAATTTTAAACTAAAATTATTCAACAGATTAAGAATTTTTAAAATAAATATTTAAATATTACCTAATTTTATCTTCAATTATTGGAAGAAACAATTGTTTTTTACTCAGAAAACAATAATATTTTAGGTTTACAAATTTTTCTTTTTTAACTTTTTGATCAAGTAACATTGTAAAAATTTTATTATGACCAAAAATTAGAATAGAAAATTATTTTTTCTTCCAAATTGTTAATTATAGATAAACGTTATAAGCTTCATAAACACAAAAAATTGACATAAAATTTCTCAAATAACTGAGTTCTTCAGAATTTTAAATTTAATTTATTCGAAATTCGATTATTTCTAATTTCCAATATAACTCTTTCACTTTTCAATTATTGTCAAGAATCTGTAACTAAAATTAATCTGTAAAATCAATTATATTTAATCATTTTCAGAAATTTTTTCGAAAATTCAATAATTTAAATACAAAAATGTAATTCTTCATAAAAGTTGCAAAAAATTAAAACACTCTAAAGGAAAAATTTTGACTAATATAATTACATACTTTCACATTAGAAAAATTAAAATAAGTTTGAGATTGATTAAGATTAGAATTGTAAATTTATATTGTTTAAAATTTTTTAATCCATGAAAGTTTTATAAACTAGAATCAAGATTTATTAAAATATAAACTAATTAAAAACTTCTAGAAACTAAACTTTTGACTAAAATTATTTGAAAAATCTGTAAACTAGGTGAAACAGGTTTAAATTATCACAAAATAGGTAAAATAGATGTCAAAGTTTGAAAAAGGTAAACAAAGTGAAAAGATGTCAGTCTGTGATCCCTGAAATTATTTAATTACAATAAAAATTTAATATTTTAGATAAATATAATACTTAAAACGAAAAAAAACGATTCTAAATTTTTGAATGCTTGAATGAACGGAATTTTTTCCCAATCTAAATATTTACAAAAATTACTCTGTTACAAAAAGCAAAAACAAAATTAAACATTTAGAATCTTTATAATTATTTTTTAAATAGTTGATGCAATAGTAATGCAATAAAATTTGACTTTGAGAAAGAAAGAAATAAATAAATTTCCTTCATTAGAACGTTCAGAAATTTAGGGACATAAAAACTCACCTGATTGATCGGTTGCTGACTAATCTGTTGATTAACTGCCTGTTGACCGATTGCATTAATCGGATGAATAATCGGTTGTTGATTAACCTGCTGCTGCTGCTGCTGCTGATTGATCGCATGTTGATTAATCATTATTTGACTGTTCTGATGAGAAACAATTTGCTGCTGCGCAGAGAGTTGATTAATTTGTTGTTGACTCATTTGCTGTTGCAGATCAACTTGTGAGGAATGCGGATGAATTGATTGATTACTCTGTGACATATTCACCGTCGCTTGTAAATCGACATTCGAACCCATTGGATTCACGTAGCCCTGAGTGATACTATTCGGCTGCTGTAAATTTGCCTGAGGAACTTGATAGGAATTTATAGCGACATTTTGATTATTCGTCTGAACTTGTGTGACTGTTCCTGAATTTGTTTGACCATCAGTGTTGTAACTTTGATGAATGGACGTAACATAAGGCACTGATTTATTAATTTCCACACTTCTTCCTGCTTCGTCAACAACTGTATTTTGTTGGATTTGCATTGGATTTAAATTTTGATGATGATGAGGCGATGAACTGTTCACTTGTTGTTGAACACCGGGATAATTTGTATTCTCGGGAATGACTTGATAACCATAGGGATAAGCCGAATTGTATGGATACGAATACTGATCGTTTGTTGGATTTGTTGAGTAACCTTTTTGAACGGGATAGGCATAGGGATCAGAAGAATTTGTCGATTCTGTTGATGCTTTTATTTTTCCCGCTTGTCCATAGACACTGTCTGAAAATGTTGTTCCTGTTTTCGGTAGACTTGAGTTTAAATTTGTTGATGTCTCTCCGTAAATGTATTGTGTATTGTAGGCATTATGTTGACCGGGATAATATTCAGAATACTGATAGTATTGATATTGTTTGGGATCGGTGAATTGTGTATTGGTTGTTGGGGGTATATTTTCATGGGCACCATTGTGATCGGTGCCTTTTATTCCCTGATGATCGGTGTTTATTTTTGTAATGGATAATGATCGTTGATCGGAGTATTGATTGTGATAGGTGGGAATGTTTGTTACTCTGTTTGCTAAATAATCCTTAAGTTTTAGGCCACTTCCAGTTGCATTTGGATCTTTAGGAAGCATATGGAGTGGAGATTTTGTTTCTGTCATTGAAATGTCACTGATTCCACGTAAGCCCACACTATTTTGTGCGAGAATCTGAGCACGTTCTTCCTCCTGAACTTTACAAGTGTTTTTCACTCTTTGCAATAATTTCGTGACATTTATTTCCATTTTTCGGTAAAATTCCAAACCCTTGGTAGTTTTTGAGAGAAGATCTTCATAAGCATCGTAGGAAGTGATCAGTGATGTTATGATGTATTCACGACGCTTTAGAACCTCGTCAACTGTTTTACGAATTTCTGCTGTGTGAGCGTAAGCTTCTGTCAATGCGGCCAATATATTGTCTTGAGCTGCTAGATTTTGTTCTATTAGACTCACCTGAAAAATAATTCATAATTCAAACATTAATATTTATAGGTAAACAATTTAAAATAAATATTTCTAAATTAATATTATGAAATTAAGATTTGGAAATTGATATTTTGAAATTAACATTTTTCTTATAATCAAGAATTACTAACAGTCGGTTGATGTTTGTTGATTTGTTCAGCGAAAAGTTCATCTAGCGATTTCGATTCTGATGTGGCAGTTACCAAAATTCTTGTCAAATCATCTTGAGATATTGCATCCCGCAATTTGCTGTGTAATTCATTTCTTTGTCTACGCATTTCGTCCACTTTGTTTAGAATTCGTTTTAATTCGCGTGTGCGAAGCTTATCCGATTCACTGTCAACTTTCTTTTCACTGCTACCTTCACCTGCGTACCAATATTTTAATTTTAACAACAAAATTTATTAAATTTTCCAGCAGTCTCCATGTTTACTTACTAAATTAAATAAATGCTTTATTAATGTAATATTGAAATTAAATTAAAATGAAAATCTATATATTCAGGCCTCGGATCTACTTTAATGTGCAAAAAAAAGTTGCTTTAGTTGATTTCAATTTAAAACCTTCTGAAATTTAATAATTTCTTAAAAAAAAACTATATCCCTTCCAAAATTCAATTATTTTCAACAATTTTTAAATAAACTTCATCTCCAAGTCAATTATTTTTAATAGTTTCCCGAGGGTTCTTCCAGAATTCAATTATTTTAATATAAAAATTCAATTTTTTATAATAATTGTAGTAACTGTGACTGTCCGTGTTTTTTTTTAAACTTATTAAGGTATAATATTTTCAAAAAATTATAATAAAGAAATTCTTAAAATAATTTAAAATAATTTTTAAAAAATAATAGTTTTTCAATTATATACAATATTGAAAAATTTCCAACCAATTGAATTTTGGTAAACTCTTTTAAAACTAAGCAAATTTTTGAAAAATATTCAAAGAATAATCAAAGTTTTGAAGAATTTTTGGAAATATATAATTAAAAATATTGAAAATAATTGAATTTTGAGAATTTACAATGAAAAAATTCTAAGTATTATTTTTTTCGAACATATTTTAATATAATTTTTATAGAAGCTAATTTTCATCTATTTTCATTTTTACTTTTACAGTTAAAAATTTTTTATTAAAATTTTTGAGAATTCAATTATTTTCAAAATTTGTAATTAAAATTCTTCAAAAATTTTAATAAAATACTTGAAAAAAGTCAATTATATTCAATTAAATTTTACAAAATTTCAATTATTCAAAAATATTTTAATTATAGGTATATTTTAAAAATTTAATTATATAGTAAAAATATTATTCAAAAATAATTTTTGAAAAATTTGTCTTTTGTTATTTTTCGAACTACTATAAAAATCAAAATAATTTGCATTTTATATTAAGGGGAGGGCACATCTATATTTTTAACTATATTAAAGAAATAATTTAAATATTCAACAAAATTATTTTTAAAGTAATTTTTTGTAAGGAATTCAATAGTCATAAAATAAAATCAGGTCAGAAAATATTTTGACCCTTTTTGAATTTCTATTTTTCTTAAAAATTGTTGGATTTTGAAATCCATACGTAATTTTGTAGAAAATATGTTTTTGAATCCACAAAAAAATTTCCAAATAAAAAAATTGATTTTCTGAATTTTTATAGCATTTTTTTGAAAAAAAATATCTGTTTTTAGGTTGAAGAAAATGCTATAAAAATTATGAAAATCATTTTTTTCATTTGGAAATTTTTTTGTGTATTCAAAAACAAATTTTCTACAAAATTACGTATGGATTTCAAAATCCACCAATTTTTAAGAAAAAGAAAAATTCAAAAAGGGTCAAAATATTTTCTGACCGATTTTATTTCATGACCATTGAATTCCTCACAAAAAATTACTTTAAAAATAATTTTGTTGAATGTTTAAATTATTTCTTTAATATAGTTAAAAATATAGGTGTACCTTCCCCTTAAAAACATGGCATTTTGTTGCAATATTTGTAAGAAAATGCGAAAAAATCGCAATTTTTGAAAATAAATCGAAAAAATCGGAAAATTCATAATAACTGAGGCCTGCATGTTTCAGTGAAAAACAAAACAATAATTCTATTTTTAATAAGTTATTTGATAATAAATTAGAATTGCTACTTAATAACCAAAAAATACCTGATTTAATCGAAGGAGATGGAATATGCGCCATTAAACTCGACAAAGGTTGAGAGAGAATTTTCAAATTATTAACATGTAAATTCATCGCTTTATGAAGGGCTTGATTGCTTTCGGAAGCTTTAGCGTGAGCTTCTTCGTACTTTTTTGCTTCTCTCGTCAAATCTGTGGCAACTATTGACGGCGGCCTTTTACCCATTGTCTCCTGATACAGTTTTTCCCTGCGAAAAATCGACAATATTGAAATATTTATACATTTCAAACTATTTTTATTATAAGTAAAAAATAAATAAAACAAATTACTTTTACGATAATAAAAGACTTGTAAAAAACATTGACAAATATATAATTAAATTGCAATTAAGAAGAAGGAGAAAAAGAATAAAACTAAGATTTAAAAAGAAAGAACAAATTTGTATTAAAGGAAAATATATTTTTAAAAATAATTTAATTAATAATAAATAATATAATAAATAAATAATAAAATAATTATACTTTTCTACATAGAACTTACCTTAGTTGTTCCTCTGTTAAAATAACATCAATTTCTTTGAGCATTGCCTCGACATTGTGATAGGTATCAGATAATTTCGCCATTGTATCAACTTGTTCTTGTATTGCATTGGGTTTTGCATTTATAGCAGCACAACGTTCGGCCAATTCTTCCGGCAAAGCGAGAATCTCCGATTCGGAATTCACTGCATCCGGATCCCAGAGGCTCAAATTTTCCAATTTCAATGACATTAAATATGTATTCAATATTTGATCGCGCTCCTCGATTTTCCCACCAACTGAACGCAGTACTTTTGCTTTCTCCTCTGAATATAATGAATTCGCCTCGTGTACTTTCATTGGAACGAGCCTACAATTTTTTTTTTAATAAACGTATCAAAAATTAGGATTCGGTAAATATTTATAAAATCTGGTTTAATTAATAAATCGTTTGAAAGTAAATAAAATTCCTAAGGAAAATAAAGAAAATAAAGTAAATAAAATAAATAAAATTATTAAATAAGAAAATAGAAGTTAAAAATAAAATTAAGTTAGAAATTAAATTACCTATGAAATTAATGAAATACTTTATTTAATTTAGTAGAAATAAAAGTAGAAACAAAAATAGAAGAAGTGGCTCATCACCTGGCAAAAATGTCCGAACCAGAAACTTCAGAATCATTGACGTTGAAGGAAATGCCTTTAACTAAAGAAGCACCCTTGACGACTGGTAAAGCATCTTTCTCTGGCACTTCCTCATGATAAATGTATTCATTCTCGTTTTTCGCAGCTTTTCGTTTTCCTTCGATAACATCGTTTGTGAAGGTGAGCGCTTCTTCGATTGCTTCTTTTTCATCAGTGGTGCCCGTTATTCCATTAACACCTTTTGCACTCGCGAAAAGAGAACGAGCTTCATTTAAAGCTGCCAAAGATGCATTATAGAACGCCACTCTTTCGCCCATTTTTCGTTGTTCTTCAGCTGCCAAACCTTGATAAAGTTGTGTCACTGCCAAGTGATAAGCTCTTTTAAATTTCACATATCTCTTCCAAATCTGCAATTACGAGACAAAATTTATTATACAAAATTTCCATTTTCAATACCTAATATTCAAATTTTTCTTTCTAATTATTAATGGGGCATTTTATTTCAAATCTTTAACTTTGATGAAGTTTACAACGTTCATGATCTAGAGGAAAAAATATTTTTCTAAGCAAATTTTTATAAACTTTTGTGTAAAAGAAATTTTTACTAAATTTCTTCATCCACCGTTTCTAAAACACCATTTCTAAAAGAAACATTTTTAAACAAACAGATTATTTTTCTTTTGAATAATATACCTAAATTTCATTTAATCGTTGATTATAAATATTGTGAACTTTACTCTCGTAACCGTTAAATCTACAAAAGACGATTGCAAGGGGGGCGATTTTCAGGTAAATTTTATTACATAAAAATTTGACGATTTATAATCAGGGTTGCCACAAATATTTAATTTTATTTTTCCCTGACTTTTCCCTGATTTCCAGACAAAGTTTTCACTTTTTCTCTAAGAAATATTCTGATTCACTCTAAAAATGATTAAATACTCATAAAAATGTTCTATTACATTTATTTACAAATTTCTTTAATTGTAAAATTATTCAAAAACATCAATAACTTCTTTTTTAAATAAATATTTAATCATTATTTTTCCGTAGGAATTAAAATTCTTCAAAACATTCAAATTCAAACCTTTTTGAAATTCAACAACTTATAAGAATATTATTACAAAACATGAAAAAGGCGATTACTTCGAGTCAAAGACTCGGAGTGATCGCCTTCTTCATGTTTTGTAATCATTTAAATTACCATAACATTTTTCAAAAAAAAAAAAATAATTATTTACAAAAATTCTTAATAAAATCCTTCGCAAGAAATGAATTATTTTTACAAGTAGTAAAATTTCTCAAAATAATTCAATTATTTTAAAAAAATGTAATAAAATTCGTTGCAAGAATTCAATTATTTTCATACATCGATTATTCGGTAATTCTTTTTTAAATCAATTTTTATTTAAAAATTCTAGAAGAATTTAATTATTTAAATTAAAAAATAAATAATTGAATGTCTGTTAAAATTGAATTCTCATAAAGAATTTTATCAACAAATTTTTAAATAATTGAATTCTTTTGACAAATTTTAATAAAATTTTTTAAGAATAATTTCATTTTTCGAGGAGTTTGATTAAAATTGTATAAAAAATAATAAAAATCCTGCGAAGAATTTTATTACTTTTGAAAATAATTGAATTCTTCCAACGAATTTTATTATTTATATAAATAATTGAATTCTTGCAACGAATTTTATTCAAGTTTATAAGAATAATTGAATTTCGGTGAAGAATTTTATTATTTATAAAAAATAATTGAATTCTTGAAAAGAACTTTGTTAAATTTTTTTTAAATAATTGAATTCTTGCGACGAATTTTATAAAAATCTTTTTAAATAATTAATATTTTTCGAAAGATTTTATGAAATTTTGTATTTTAAATAATTGAATTCCTCTTAAAATTTTATTACTTATGAAAATAATGGAATTATTTCGAAGAGAAGAATTTTATTATTTATAAAGATAATTGAAATTTTGACGAGAATATTTAAAAATTTTAAAACATAATCGAATTTCTAGGAAGAATTTTTATAATTTTTGAAAATAATTGAATTTCTGGGATCATTTGTAACTTTTCCAAAATTCAATTTTTTTTTTGTATTTATAACTAAATTCTTCTATAAATTTAGTATTTATGAAAATTGTAAAAATTATACATACATTAAAAAATTTATAAGTCATAATTTTATGAAAGTTCTTGAAAAAAAAGTTATTTCAAAAGAAATTATTGTCAGAAATGGAAAAATTTGAAGGTTTTGTATTAGAATTCGTAGTAATTTGAGGCAAACCCAAAAACATCAAAATTCAGAGTTTTCTCATGAATTTTAAAAATTCAATTTTTTACAGTACTTTTACTAAAAATCTCTGACTTTTTCCTGATTTCCCTGATCAATTTTACTTTTCCTGACTTTTCCCTGAATTCCCTGCCCTGTGGCAACCCTGATAATATATTATGCACTAATTTAAAAGAGAAGTTAATAATCTTTTTATTTCTTTTTTTGTTTTTCAAAATCATTCTTTAATAAATTCTGAAATTTTTAAAAAAATATGATTTTCATATTTCAGTTAACCGAAAATATTTATTATTAAATAGATTTTATAGATAAAGCTTTCACATTCAGTCAATTTTCAAGTTCAAGCGTTAATAATTATTGTCAAGTCGAAACAACTCAACAACTTTTTCAATAAACAAATATTTATTCTTGTGTAAATTATTATGTTTCGGTAATTTTTTCAAATAAAAAACATAAAAATTATAAGTCATCTTGATATGTCAAAAGTTTTTAAATTGAAAATTCGTTGTTAATAAATTATTTTCTTAAATTTAACAATGACAGGTCAATTTGTGAAATCTTGAAAGTATTAAATTTATATTACGATGTTATTTTGTTTGGATTTGTAATTTTAGTGAGATCTTATTTTTAAATATTATTAAGTATCTACCTATTAAATTTATGTTTATCTCGATTTTTGAATAATAGATTTATTAGCTTTTGAAAACTTGCTTCTCAAATGCATAAAAAATTTCTAAGTTTTAAAAATTAAAAATTATTAAGTTTCAAAAACATAAAAATTTTTCTAATTGACATAAAAAATGAGAATTTTTGTAAGTCTTTTTTTAAATCCCAGAAAATGTCTTTAATAAATTGTACGGAACTAGAAATGTAAAAAAGTTACCTTTCTTTTCACAAAAGTTTCAAGGAAATTGAAGTGCTAGTCTTTTGAGTTATTAAAAGTTTTACATTGCACAAAGAAATTTCTCTATAAAATTTTGAAAAATTTTGAAAAATAAATAGATATACAGAAAGTTGAATAAATTCTCTTTCGAATTAGTGTATAAAAATTTAACGATTAAATTTTTATGTAATAAAATTTACTCAAGAAAAGCTCTCCTTGCGATCTTTTGTAGATGGAACGGTTTGATATAAACTGCCACCCAATATAAATTAGTAATTGTTTCAATTTACATAATGAATGAATATTTTCAAAACAAATTTTAATCTCACCTTGTAAATTTTATTTCCAACTGTTTCGCAAACAGTGCCATCTTCACTGCCACCTTGCTCCAGTGTTGCAAGCGCCAAACCATAATAATCAACAATTTGACGTGCGACTTTTGCTGTTGGAATAAATACCTATTTAATACAATGTAATTCCAATTGGATTTGAAAATTCGAATTCATAAAATTTGACATACCAACTATTGATGGTTTTCGATTATCAAGCATACTCTTTTCTAAAATACACTCTTGTCCTTGAGCCAAGCACAATTGATACATAAATGTCATCAATTCGGGTGCTAAATCAACGCCAGGCGGTTGGGGATAACTATTTTTCAAATGATCAAAAGCCCATGCTGCACATTGAAAATGAGTACATGCCATTTTCATTCCCTCAGGTGATGTGCGTTCTGATCTTGCACCCAATTGTGTATGAATAGCACTAATATTATACAAAACAGAAATCGTTTCAAAACGAATATTCGCCAGAGAACACACCATATTAGCATACGTGTCTTTCCTGAAAAAACAATATTCAAAATTATTTGTTTTATTCAAATAAAAAAATTTTAATTATTACACAACTAACCAAACAAATTGCATTGCTTCTTCTAAACAATTTGGAGCCATTTTAATTTAAATATAATTTTTAAAGGAATAATAATTATTACACACGGAAAAAATGTTTCACTTGAAACAGAGATAAGTTTCTCTAGAATAGCGAAAGTATTAATTAAAGCACTGAAAAATTTCACTCAAACAGAGAAATTTGTAGTTTTCTCAGGTGAATATTTTTTTCCGTGCATTACGAAAAAAAGAATTAAATTGACATCAGATTTTCTAAATTCAAAATAACGAATTTAGCAAAGAAATTAGTCATTTTGAAACTTTATCAAATTCAAATAAATTTGATGTTTGAAATTCTAATAATTTTACTAAATGGTCTCAGTTAAAATAGCATTTAAATTGATATAAATTATAATTATTTGGAAAACAAAATATCTGTAGTAAAAATACTAACTACAATTTGCATTAATTATTTAATTACAATATGTAATATAATATAATGAAGCTTCAAATTAAAAAAATTTCAGGTAAGTAAATTTGAGGCGCATGACAGCCCCCAAATTTAACAAGCAAAAAAAGTTTACGGACCAACTGACAAAAACAGAATCAGTGCTAATCAAATAAGAGAACATTTTACTTAAAACTAGAAATTCAATTTTTCATAACTATAAAACATGAAGAAATCGATAACTCCGAGTCTTCGACTCGAAGTCATCGATTTCTTCATGTTTTATAATAATTAATAATAATTATTAATAAAAATAATTTATAATAATTAAAATTATTATCAATTCAATAATTATTTTTAAGAATATTTATCTAAAATTCTTCTTTATATCGATAATTTTTAATAATTTTCGAAAAAGTTCTTTGACAATTTCCAAATTCATTTCTTTACAATATTCAATTTTACGAAATTTCAATTATTTGCAAATTTTTGAATTGAATAAATATTAGAAAATAGAAACTAAAAATAATATTAAAAAAACTCAATTAAACTTTTTCAAAAAAATTAATTACAAAATTTAATTATTTTTTAAAATTCACGCTATATTGCTTTTAATATTCAATTATTATCTAAAATTTTAACTGAAATTCATTTTTATGAAATGAAAATCAATTTTTATTAGAAAATTCTACTAGAATTCAATTATTTAAATACAAATAAAATGCAAATAAATAATTTATTGAATAATTGAACGTTTCTTAAAATTCAATTCCCATAAAAAATCGTTATCAACAAATTTTCAAATAAATGAATTCTATCAACGAATTTTAATAAAATTTTTAAGAATAATTACATTTTTCGAGAAATTTGATTAAAATTGTATTAAAAATAATTAAAATTCTGCATTGAATTTTATTATTTATGAAAATAATTGAATTATTGCGAAGAATTTTATTAAAATTTTCAAAAATAATTAAATTCTTGTAAAAAATTAACAGGAATTCAATTATTTTTAAAAATTTTAATAAAATTCTTGTCATAAATTAAAAATAACAAAATTCTTAGCAGATCATCAATTACTTTCAGAAATTTTAATAAAATTTTTCGCAAGAATTTAAATATTTTCATAAAATAATCAAAATCTTTGCAGCTAGATTCAATTATTTTCAAAAGTCTTAATAAAATTCTTCGCAAGAATTCAATTATTTTAAAAAATATCAGAATTTTAGCAGAAATTCAAATATTTAAAAAAGTTTTGATAAAACTTTTTTTGGTAGAAATTTAATTATTTTTAAGACAATTTTAAAAAAATGTCTCGATAAAATTCAATTATTTTTAAAATTTTAATGAAATTCTTCGAAAGAATTCAATTATTATAATCTTAAGATTTTAAGTGAAATCTATTTTTAAATCAATGTTTATGAGAAAATTCTGCGGGAATTCAATTATTTAAATACAAAAATAAATAATTTATCGAATAATTGAATGATTTTTGGAATTCAATTCCTATTAAAAATTTTATCGAAAAATTTTAAAATAATTAAATTCTTTGGACGAATTTTAATAAAATTTTTAAGAATTTTTTCGAGGAATTCGATTAAAATTCTATTGAAAATAATTGAAATTTTGCAATGGATTTTATTCAAATTTTTCAAAATAATTGAATATTATTACTTTAAAAAATAATTGAATTCGTGTGATAAATATAGTTAATTATGAAAATAATTAAAATTTTTGAAAATAATTGAATTTTGTCGAAGAATTTTGCTATTTATTTATAAAGATAATTGAAATGTTGACAATGTTTTTTAGATTTTTTGAAAATAATTGAATTTCGGAGAAGAATTTTAATATTTCTAAAAATAATTGAAATTTTGACGAGAATTTAAAAAAATTTTTGAACATAATTGAATTTTTGCGAAGAATTTTATTACTTTCAAAAATAATTGGCTTTCTGCAATCATTTGTAATTTCTCTAAAATTCTCAAAATTATATCGTACAATTTACGAACTTTTCATCCTTTTTGAATGAAATTACGGACTTTACGGACCTTTTTTCAAAAAAACGGACTTTTTCAGGATTTGCGGACCTACTTCGAGCCCTGGATATTATAAAGATATTCAAACAAAAAAATTTAAATTATTACAAAATTATCAATTTAAAACTATTATATTAAAAATTAATCAAAATTAATTTAATTTATGGAAGATAAAAAGAAAACAACGGAAATTTAATTAAGAAACCATTTTAAATTAGCTTCTGAGGAGAATTTTTTTGAAATTATTCTCCTCTTTTCATTGAACAATCGCTAAACGAGCTTTTAACTTTCTTAACAAAATCTCTATTTTACAAATACCTTATACAACTAACGAGATTAAAAGGTTCGTCTTGCATTAATAAGATTAGAAGTTGTACTTTCTGTACAAAACATAGAAAACGTTTATACAAATGTGATAAAACCTACCAAGTGAAAACAACAGCAGCGGGACCATCTTTACCCATGGGAAATCTACTTTGCAAAAAATGCAATTGACAATAATATCTTTTTAATAATTCACATCCTTTAACATCAATCGGTGGCCGAACAGCTGATGATCGTAAACTTTCGAGTTGATGAATTTCGTTATTGTACGATTCCGGATCTTCATTATAAAAATCTTGAATATACTGAAAAAGAAGGATTTTTTTAATTTCACTAAATCACAATGTAATTACTCTGACATTATTCACATTAATAATCACTGTACATATATATGTACGTGTACAATAGAAAGATATGAATCATGGATCACAGGATTTTTTTTTTATCTTTCTAGGTTATAAAATATAATAAATTTAAAAAGTATTTTTAATTAACGAAAATTCTTTGTTGACAAAAAGAGAAATAAATAACATTATTTATTTAAAATTAAATAAAAAAATTTTTCTAGATAATTTGATGAAATATTTTTTTAGGAAAATTTGCACATACCTGTTTGAGTTTTGTTGCAAAACTAGTTGGTTCCGGACTTACTTTTAATTGAAATGAGACCATCGGCAGTCTTGGAACTGCCTCCATGGTCGTTTCTTTTTTTTAAAGTCAAAAATTATAGGGAAATTTATAATTTTACGTATTTTTGTTCACCACAAGAATGAATAAACGTCAAAATTTGTCGTTTCGTCTTTTGGAACTTTGTATATACCGTCTATTGAGTTTGCGCGCATTTCACTTTCTAAAAGTTGTATTCTATTGGTCGATTTGCGCGCCAAAGTTCTATTCTGTTATTCAATCAGATTTTATAATTTAAAATTTTGCAAAAAGTAAATTGCTTTTATTATTAGTTTAAATAATTACTTTTTAATTTATTATTTTATTATATTACTAGCAAATGTTATGCGCGAAACGTGATTTTTAATTAATTATTATTATGCAAATTACAATATATTTTATTTAAAAAAATTCAATTATTAACTAATTTACTATAATTAATTATTCTTGTTTTATAATTTCAAAATTTTTAATAAATCCTTCGAAACAATTCAATTATTTTTTTAAGAATTCAATTTTTTCTTTATTCGATATAAAATCTTTGCAAAAATTCAATTATTTCCAAAAAAATCTCACGAAAGAATTTCATTTTTTTCTTTATTCGATATCAAATATTTTAAATGAATTCAATAAATTTTTATAAATCGTTCGAAACAATTTAATTTTATTTATAAATAATAAAATTCTTTGAAAAAATTCAATTATTTTTAATACAATTTTAAAAACAATTAATGAAAGAATTCAATTTTTAAAAAAATTTTAATAATATTTTTCGAAAAAATTCAATTTTTTTCTAAAATTTTAATAAATCTTTCAAAACAATTTAATTATATTTATAAATAACAAAATTCTTTGCAAAAATTCAATTATATTCGAAACAATTTCACAAAAGAATTCAATTTATTTCTTAGTTGGTTATAAAAAATTTCAAAAGAATTCAATTATTTTCTAAAATTTTAATAATTTCTTCGAAAAAAATCAATTATATTTGTAAATAATAAAATTCTTCATTATTATCAAATTTTTTTGCAACAATTCGATGATTTTCAATAAATTAATTTTAAAAATGGAAATTATTTAAAAAGAAAAATTATTTAAAAATTTAGGAAACAAAAAAGCAAACGGAATACAGCGATTATTATATAGATTATAAGAGGAGAAACTTACCTTTTCGACTAAAAAGGATGATTGAAATAAGGTTTTATTTTTTAAATTATATTCAACTTCTTTAAAGAATTATTTAGAAATAATTTATTAAATTTGTATTGGATTATTTTTTTAGTTTCTTTGCTTGATATTCAAAACTCTTTCTTACTAGACAAATAATTTCGCTTTGTAATTTTGCCTTTCTTCGCAATTCTTTGTAGTAACGACTTTTTCTCTGTTTTTGAGCTTAAAACCGATTTTTACAGTTAATTAAAGAAATAAATTTTCTATTTTTACTTAAATTAATTTGTTATTAATATTTAAATTTTTGTAAAAATATTTAATTAATTTTAATTACATAATTAAATATTTATGATAGAATTTTCTAAATTCTTTACCATTCAAATCAACTGTTATTTAACTAATTATTTTAATTAATAAAAAAAATTTTGAATATTACTAAAATTGAAATACTACTGAAAATATATTGAAATAAAGACTTACAATTAGAAAAATTATTTGTCGCTGTTGTAAATTTGAGACAATTTGTACTCGAATGTGAACTTGACGAGTGAAAAAGTGCAGAACGACTTCGATGAATTTTCACTTGATTCCTGTAAGCAATACTTCGACGTCTTTTTCGTTTTCCTGTTAGTTTAATTTTTGATTCCGAACCGCTCAATTCATCTTCAGCCCAAAATTGTGAATCTATTTTTATCGAATATTCTCGAAATAAAAATTGCTTTAAAACAAAACAAAAAGTGTTATATGCAAATAAATAAATTTTCATTTCCCATCAATAAATATTTTTCGAAATTATTCAAACTTACAAATTGAAAAAAATTATGTTTTGATCACAAAAATTCAAGAACAATTTTTTTTAGAGTTGTATAGTGGAAATAAAAAGTCTTGAACAATAACCTTCATCATCCTCAGAACTGTAAGAAATTCTTTTCGAATCGCCTTTTGCATGATTTTCCATTATTAATTTTTGTTTCTTTTTATTATCTTGATTAATTTTCTTATTATTTATTATTTTTAAGAATATGTCAAAAGTACTTGTGAATTTTATAAATAAATAATGTTTTTTCTTTGCAGTGTCAAATCATTTTAAATGGAAATTTCGCTCTTCCTTTGTTTCCTAAAGAATTTAAAAATAGCAACAAGTGTAATTTACGCGATTAGTAAACGTTTATTCAACTTTCAAAAAAAATTATCAAAATGTAACAAATTTTGCACAGCTTAGGAATATTAAACATAAAAATTATTTAAATATCCATCATTAAAAAAAAAAAACCTTCAACTCATTTTCAATTCAACGTTCAAACAGCGAATACTTCAATTCAACATTCAAACACTGAATAGTAAATTTAAAAAGAAAAAGGGAAATATAAAAAAATTTTCAATAAAAAAATGATAAAAATACATTGTGTAATTCAATGAAAGCGAATAAGCGCCGTTTGCAAAGCAACATTTTTTTAAAATGTTAAATGTAAGACTACTAGTAAATATTATAGTCATATTTTATTTTAAAGTGTAGAATATATAATCATATATATATTATAATAATTACATTAAATTACAATATAAAACTAATAGTCTTATATTTCATTTTCAAGTACATTAATATTTTTGTTGCTTCGATTTAAAAACTAATATCTTAAAACAATTAAGCAATAGAAAATTAAAAAATAAAAACTATTCTATTTTTTAAGTCTTTATCACGATAGTTTCTTTTTATCTGCGTTCTTTTCAAACTATATTCACATTATAATTTTCTTTCATTCATGGATTTTTGAAAAAAAAAAAATTATTCAAATTCTCTCATTATTTTCATTCTCTCACTTTTCAATATGAAAGATATTTCAACGACTGTTTCTTTTCTGTTTTCTTTTTAAATTCGCAAAAAAAAAACAGTTCATAATATTTAACGCAGACTATAAATTATATATTTATGTATATGTTTAAAAAAAAATGATTACCAACTAATTAGTCATTTTCAGACTTTCGTCGTTTCTTTCCTCGTGAATTGTCCGTATCGTGGGGACTTGGCGTAATGTGACTTCTTTTTCGCTTTGAAATTGTTTCACTTGATTCGTTGCTTGTACTTGCTGCCGTTCTTGTTTCTCGACGAAATGACACTTCACCGGTAACTTGAACTAGGATCTAAAAGAAAAAAAATTATTAATCTCTTTAAAAAAGTTGGTTAACTAGCTTTTTAAATTTTTAATTCTTAATGTTTCTTTATATCTTGAATTGAAGCAATTATAAATTTTATTTAATAATAATAGCCTCAAATAATGTAAATTAAGACTGTTTAAAATTTGAAAAGAGCAAAAATAAAAAATATGAATTTAAATAAAAGAAACATTGCATTTTTTCATTTGAGGATCTAAAATTAAGATTTTAGATTTTTATTTAAACTTAAATTTAAATTAAATCAAAATAGATACTTTAATTTAAATTTAACTAAAATAATTAAATTTAAATTTTAATCAATTTAATTAAATTTTAAATTTTTTTTTTTTTTTTTTTTTTTTTTTAATTTTATTTTTTAAAATTTTTTTAATTTCAAAATAAAAAAATAATGAATTAGTCATATTTTATAACGTAAAAGTAAAAATTTTATCAGGGTTGCCACAAAAATTTGCTTTATTTGTAACTATCTTCAATTGTGAAATTATTCGAAATAATCAATTTTTCAAAATGAATAATTTTATTATTTTTCCATAGAAAAATTTAATATTTAAATTTTTTAAATTCAAATTGAAAATCTTATGAAATTCAATTATTTAGAAATTTAAAATTTGTTTCTGGGACTAACAATTAGTCATAGAGAGAGAATTTAAATATAATTTTACTAAATTTTATATCAGATTTTTTAAAGTTTAGAATTTTTTATATCAAAATTTCGCTTTCGCGCACTTTTTCCCTAATTTGTAAAATACTTTTACAAAATGAAATATATTTATAATATTCTCTCTCCGTGTTTAGGAATAAAAATTGCGAATAAATAAAATTTCGATTAATTGAGATGTAAATTTTTTGAAATACGAAGCAAAATATGTCCCTAAAAAGTTCTGAAAATTTAAATTAAATAAATTTATTTATTCATTTTTCAAATTGAAATTTCATTATAAATTTGCCCGTGTAACCAAAATAAATAAATAAATAATATTCCGTAACGTTTAAAAAAAACTTTTGAAAATGTTTAATTTAAATTTTTGATTTTTATAAAAGTCAATAATTTTTGAAAATATATATACCAATATTGTCCCTGAAATATGAAAAAATTAAAAAATATATAACTTGAAATTTAAAATAATTAGATTTGAAATTGAGATTAGAATGTGAAATTGTTTAAAATAAGATGTATGACTCTTTTGTGATCCAAGTATTGTAATTAAATTAGATTTTTTTTTTTTGTGGTTCTTTAGGATCAGTAATTTGGAAAAGAAACTAAATTTTTTGTTCTTTAGACGTTTCGATCCTGGTTTGGATCCTCATCAGTAAATTTTATTAATTCTGCAATGTACATATTTATTTGTTTATAAAAAAATTTAGTTTCTTTTCCAAATTACTGATCCTAAAGAACCACAAAAAAAAAATCTAATTTAATTGTTTAAAATATTGATAAATATAAATTTAGATCAACCGAATGAAATAAATTCAGATTCAACTCAAATTTTAATCGATGAAAGTTTTAACAAATTAAAATTAAGATTTATTAAAATATGAATTAATTAAACATTTTTAGAAACTAAACTTATAATTTAAAATACTTGAAAAATATTAAAAATAAAAAAATATAAAAGTGAAAATTAACGAAATAGGTTTCACTTTGTAAATTCAAATTCGAAAAACTAATAAATGTTGATTTTTTCAATCTTCGATTGGGAAAAAAATTGAAATTAAACAAAATCTCAATAAGTAAATGACAAAATTAAAAAAATGTGAAAAGTGACAGTCTGTGATGCCTGAATTTTAGATATTTAAATTTTTTCTAGTATTTTTGATAAAATTCTTCGATTTTTCTCTGAATTCCCTGATTTCTATGACCTGTGGCAAACCCTATTCATACTAAAAATATTTTATGTTGTTAAAACAAGTAAAAAGAAACGTCTAATAATGAAGAAAAAGTCGTACAATCGAGGCCTGAAATTAAAGAAAAATTTTTATTAAATAATGAACAATTTTATTAGAATAAAAAAAATTTTAATGAATATTGAAAATTTTTAATTGATTATTGAAACGATTTTCAATAATCTACTTTAATAATTTTTTTTTAATAATCTTTTTAATAATCTTACTTGAATAATACGTTGGTGACGTTTACAACAATTAAAATAAACGATTTAGAAGGAAAAATAAATTAAAAATTTTGATCTTAATAAAATTTTTACAAAATGTTTCTTTTGATCAAAAAGTTAAAAAAGAAAAATTTGTAAACGTAAAATATTGTTTCCTGAGTAAAAAAACAATTTTTTCTTCTAATTGTTGATGATAAACGTTGTGAACTTTTCACCCACGTTAAATAATAAAACATAATGAAAAATTTTTACTTTAATAAAATATTTTAATTGAAATAACTTTTTTTTACCTGCATATGCTGAAGACACTCTTCCTGCATTGTAATGGCCATTTTATAAACAAACGTATCGTGTTTATTGTACATTATTGCATTTTGAAACATAAGCATAACATCACGTTGAAAATGCCTCGTCGATCTTATAGTGCCATTATCAATATTTTTCTTAATAGTCGACAGATCCATGGGACGAAAAATAATTGAATGATAACCAGGCGCTTGATCCTCGGTTATTGGTCGTAAGAATGCCGATGCATATTTATGCGTTGCCAATCTATTGTAAACCAACATAACAGCCTTTTTCCACGCCCTATAATCAGCACCTTCACTACTCTCCATTTCCGGTTCGCTATCAATTGCAATTGTTTGCCTCTTTGAATACGTCTTCATCGCTCTGCCACCGCTCAATTTACTCAATGACGATTCCTCCTCGTCCAATTCGGAAACACTGCCCGAAAATTGTGATTGCTCCTTACGTGATATCGCACTGTCGTCAAGATGTATTTTTTTCTCATCAATTTCATCCTTTACTTCCTTGGTACACTTGATTGTTTCACTTCTCATTTCGTCGGGTATTTCATTCTCCTCACGTATTCCAATGTCGTCCTCTTTTTTTATTTCAATTGGAATAAATTTCGAAATCTTTTCTTTATCGTCAATTTTTGTTTGTTCGTCATCTTCCTCGTCGTCGTCATCATCGAAATCTTTCATATCGGCCTCTAAGAGTTCTGTATTTGATGTACCGTCTGATGAATCTTTTGTGTCTTCTTTTTTAAAATTTTCTAATTTCACATTGTCGGGGATATTTTGATGTTCTTCAACGTCGTTGTCGGATTTTTCTTGTTTAATGTCCTTTGATAATATTTTCTCGTCATCTTTTTTCTTTTCTTGATTAGCGGGCGTGTCTTCCTCTTCGAGAATTAGACTTATGTCTTGAGATTTTTCTGTATCTTCATTAATTAGTGTGTCATTTGAGGAAACACTTAATATTTCGGTCGTTGCATTTTGATCTTGTTTTGTTGTATTTGCTTCGATTTTCTGTTGATCGTTATTTTTGTTGGAATGATTCTCGGAATTTTGGATAATTTCTTCTGGATTTCCACACTTTTCGGTTGATTTATTCTCACGGGTTTCCTTCACTTCATTTGTTGTTTTAACTTCCTTTGGGTCTTGTTTTGAATTTTCGGTCAATTTCTTTGTGTCTTCTATATTTTTAGTTTCTTCGCTTTTTTTACCGTCGGTGGATTTTTTCGTTTCGTCAGCAATGGGTTTTTTGATTTCAACTTTATTGGATTTTTTGGTCGCCTCTTCTTTTAAATTCTTCTTCGTCTCTTCTTTAGAATTTTTCTTCGTTGCCTCTTCCTTTGGATTCTTTTTCGTCTCTTCCTTTGGATTCTTTTTCTGCTCTTCTTTTGGATTCTTCTTTGTCACCTCGTCTTTAGGATTCTTTTTCGCCGGCTCTTCTTTCGTGATCTTTTTTACCGTCTCTTCTTTTGTGGTCCTTTTCTGCTCCTCTTTAGGATTCTTTGTTTCGTCCTTGACATTCTTTTTTGCTTCCTCTTTAGGATTCTTTTTTACCGTTTCCTCTTTTGTAGACTTTTTCGTTTCGTCTTTGGAATTCTTTTTTGCCGGTTCCTCTTTTTGGGTCTTTTTTGCATCCTCTTTAGAAATTTTTTCATCTTTGGGAGTTTTTTCATCTTTTGGAACTTTTTTCGATTCGTCGGTGTTTGTTGGTTTTTTTGAATCATCTTTAGAAGGCTTTTTCACTTCTTCGATGGGATTCTTTTTAATTTCCTCCCTAGGGGGCTTTTTAATTTCATCTTTGGAGGGTTTTTTAATTTCTTCTTTAGGATTCTTCTTGGGATCGTCTTTGAGAATTTTTTTCGCTTCTTCCTTGGGGGTCTTTTTTATTTCCTCTTTGGAAATCCTTTTTGTTTCTTCTTTAGCAACTTTTGTCTCTTCTTTCGTAATTTTCTTGGTTTCTTCCTTGGGATTCTTTTTTCCTTCTTCCTCTTCTTTAGTGGACTTTTTTGTTTCTTCTTTCACAGTCTTTTTATTAATTTCCTTTGACGATTTTGCCGTTGCTTCTTCTTCTTCTTCTTCTTCTTTGGAAGATTTAGTTTCCTCATTTGGGGATTTATTCGTTTCCTTGACAGCTTCGCTCGTCTTCTTCGACTCTTGTTTCTCGATTCCTTTTTCGACGGAGTTATTTTTATTCTCAATTTCCATAGTTTGTTCTTCATTTATTGATTTCGTTTTGTCCGTTGTTTCTGTACTTTTCCTAGTTTCTGGCAATTCTTTGGACTCGAGTGACTTTTTGTCCTTTGGTTCTTCTTCCTTCGGACTGGATTTATTTTCGTTTTCAGCTTTTTTCTCCTTGTTTTCAGCAGTAACTGTGCCAATGATTTCGGCAATGTTCGATGTATTTGAATTAATTTCCACGAGGGGCATTTCACTTGTCGATGATGAATCGGCGATGGAAACGGTTTCTTGGGTATTTTTGATTTCCTCCCTTCCAGTTATAATTGGTTGATTTATATTTCCGATAATATTCGTTGCTCCTGAATCGAGAACTTGGGGATTGTCGGGAATTTCGCCTTTAATTAATTCCTCGATGTCGCCAATAATTTCGTTGATTTCGTCCTTGTCAATAACGTCAGCCATTATATCCTTTGGAATAACTTCGTCAATGTGATCGATCATTTCCGAAGTGGACATATTGGCGGGCGTAATTGGTGGTTCAATTATTTGAATATTGCTTCGTTGGTTGTCAATTTGCATTAATTGAAGATCAACATTTTGTTGTGGTAAATTTGTTATTGTTGTTGTTGTTGCTGTTGGGGTGTGTGTCTGTAAATTTGAAAGTGTTGCTCTCTGTAAATTTGCTGGTAGTTCCAGGAGCATTGAGAGTGTTGGAGCACCGGCTGATGGTCGTTCTGGCGTTGCATTGACAATTGCCGTTGATACCAATTGATGGAGTTGTGATGAGACTGTTTGCGTTAATGGTGGATTGGGGATTTTCGGACTAGAACCTAAGAGACTGGCAATCGTTGGCGAGGTAACTTGCGCTGACGATGTTTGCGACTGGATCTGAGTTGTCGGACTCGGTGATTTTAAAAGACTCGTTAACAAAGGAGATCGACCGCCTTTATTCTTCTTCTCTTCCTCGTCGGTATTTGGATCTAATGTATCGTGTCCACTTTCGGAACTCTCGGATTTTCGTTGAATATTAAAGCCGAGAATTTGTGGTGTTTGTCCCTCTTGTTTTTGTCGTCTTGCCAACCAAGTACTGTGTGTTTTATTTTTCTGCTCTTGTTCACGTTCCTCCAGTTCAATGTTGAGCCACATTTTTTGTAATTTATCTTCTGCTATATTACCCGATTTAAGGAGATTTAATTCGTTTTTTAATTGTTGGTATTCCTCTCTTTGCGTTGCTAAAAATTGACTTAATTCCGCAATTCTCTCTTGAGTTAATCGTCGAACAATGGATTCGCCGATAGTCTCACTTGTTTCTCGTTTTTTTCTTTTCGGCGTGTCGGCATTTTCCAATAATTGTGCATACTGAAGGGCGCAAGCTTTTTGCGAGAACCAATCGACGGGTCTTTGTAATTCCTTTTCGAGAAAGGGTTTTAATGAACGTGAAACACTCATCCAATTTTGATCGCCCGACTTTAAAACACTCGACGCTAGACAAAGTTGTTCTTTTACACTCCATACTTCACAAGGGCGTTTCAATTTCAATCCTGAAAATTATTTTATATTATTAAAAGAATATTACTTCATTTCAGTAAAGAAAACAAAATCAATTACAAAAAATTAATGTTTTGACAATATATCTGTTTATTCTATATTCCAATATCATCTAAAATTGTATTCAAATCATAAAAATAACATTTCCAAACCAAATTGCAACTAATAATTCAATAATCAATCAAATATATGTTTTAACATTACCTTTTTTCTCTTTAATAAATAATAAAAACAATAACAATTTCGAAAAATTTACATAGAAAACCTAACCTCAAAATCAAATCAAGAAGTTTCACTCATTAAAAATCTGTCGATAGATTAAATTCAATCAATTTTTACTTACTTTCTTGTGCCGAGGCCATTTTAGATTACTTTTAAAGGCACAATTTACAGTTAAAAATTGATGTTTATCAATGAAAATAGTCAAATTAAAATAATTTGCCACATTACACAAACAGAATCAAAGCCCGCCGATTATAAACTTTCCGGAATGAAGCGGAAACGGAATCAGCTGTTTGGAAAGGCGAAACAAAACGGAATTGAAATCTTTGACATTCGCAACAATGGCCGTTCATAAAGAAGCTGTAAAGAATGTTAAATTTTAGTTTTCTATTATTTAACAGTTTTTATATATTATTAGAATATATCTTTCTTTAAAATTTTGTATTTCAGTGTTGAATAATTTCACGTGTGTTCATAATGTTGCGTTTAAAGAAATTGAACATTTATAAAAGTTGTTTAATTAAATTTACATAGATGTGTGCGAATTCGATCCAAATAAATAAAGAAAATTGGAGACACGTCATCTTTTTAAATAAAGTGAAATCTATTATTTGAATTAGATTTATATTTTGTGATATTATTAAATCGAACAGTTAAAAAATGCATAATCGAAGGCGAATGCATAATTTCACGTATGTCAGTTCGTGTGTGAAATACATGATCTTTCTTCTTAACTTTATCATCTGGGTAGGTTATATACATACTTTTTTTTGTTACATGTATTCTTTTGTTAAAAACACTTGCCTCTTATCACATTTATTTGTATTTTTGTTTCTTTCATTGATTTTAAATTTTCTCTCGCGTCACATGCAATTTTAATTTATTTTTATTTATTAAAATAGAAAATGTTTACATTCATAAATATTATTATTTTTATAATAATTATATATTTTTCTTTTAATAGAAGGCATTGTGTGTGAATAATAAAAGTAAAATTTCTTTTGGAAAATATTAAAGTGTTACAATTGAAAAATAATGTGAAAGGTGGATATATATACCTATAAAACTGTCAATTGAATAATTAATGTGACTATTTTTAGTTATTCGGCGGATTGCTAATTGGAGTTGGTCTCTATGCATTTGTCGATAAATGGCAAGCTACAGGATCTGTGAGAGTGGAAAATGTCTACGATGTCGTATTAAATATTTCTTTAGTGATGGTGATAGCTGGAGGAGTTGTTTTTATTGTCAGTTTTGCTGGTTGCGTTGGAGCTTTACGTGAAAATACCTGTCTTCTAAAATTCGTTAGTACAATTTCTTTTGTATTTTTTAACTAATTAAATTAATATTTATAGTACAATTGATAAAATCCCTCTTTTTGTATTTTACTCTATATTTATTGTATGTTACTCTGCATTTACCCATTTTGTTTATTTTCAGTATTCACTGTGTTTATTGGTATTTTTCCTTCTCGAAATGGGTGTTGCTATTGTTGGATTTGTCTTTCCTCACACACTTCAATCTCTACTCGAGGAATCATTCACTGACAAAATAATTCAATCATATCGTGAGGATCCTGATTTACAAAATTTCATTGATTTTGGTCAACAAGAAGTAAGACTCAATTATTTTTGTATTTGAAAAGTACTTTAAGTTTTGAATTTTTAATTATAAAGTATTGTCTTTCTCTTTGTTTCTAGTTCAAGTGTTGCGGTTTAAGTCAAGAGGGATATTTAGATTGGGGAAAAAATGAATATTTTAATTGCTCTAGTCCTAGCGTCGAACGTTGTGGTGTTCCATTTTCTTGTTGTATAAATGCGACAGATATTTCGGTGAGAATTGCATTTTAAAACATTTTCATCTACAATTAATTCACTTTTATTTATTTACAGGCTTCGTACTCATATATTTAAAACCTACTATTTACTACTATTTTTGCGATTTGATACTTATTCGGATAAGTTTTTTTTAGATTTTTGACACTAAATGATACTTTTTTTTGTTTAAGAATTTGCACTACTTTAAATTCGCTAATAGTTGGAATAAAATTCGTTGCAAGAATTCAATTAGTTTTATAAATACAGGCCTCGGATATTATGATTTTTTCGACTATTTTCAAATAATGCGACTTTTTCGACTTTTCTTCCAAATTTTGCGACAAAATACCATATTTTTAGTATAAAATACTGCAACTTTTTCGATTTTTACGCGCAGTATAAAAAATAGCTATAGATAAATATTTCAAAAATTATTTTTGAAAATTTTTTCTAATTAAATTTTTGAAATATACAATTAAAAACATTTTGAATAATTGAAATTTAGTAAAATTAATTGAAAATAAATAAATTCATCAAAAATTTGATTATTTTTTAAATATTTTTCAAAAACTCAATTATTTATACGCTTAATAAATGTTATTGCAAAATTTAATTATTTTAGGGAATTTTATTAAAATTCGTTGCAAAAATCAATTATTTTAATGGATTTTAATAAAAATTATGTCTAAATTCCATTTTTTAGGAATTTTTAAAAACTTTATTGCAAAATTCAATTATTTTCAGGAATTTTTAAAAAATTTATTGAAAAATTCAATTATTTTCATAAATTTTAATCAAACTTTTTGTAAAATTTAATTTTTTTCTGGAATTTTATTAAAATTCTAATTCATCTATAATTTTAATAAAACTCTTTGCAAAATTCAATTATTGCGTCTTTCAAAAACTATTTAGAAATATTTTTAAAAAGTTAATTTTACGAATTTATTTATTAAATTTTTTTGAATATATTCTACCTTAATATCTTTAAAAAGAAAAATGAACGGTTTCAATTATTATAAAAATTGAATTTTTGTATTATTTAAATAATTGAATTCTTGAAGAACTTTCGGAAAAATATTAAAAAGTAATATAGATAATTGATTTAGAAATGAAGTTTAGTTAAAAATTGTAGAAAATAATTGATATCTTGTAAGGGTTATAGGTAGCTTTAATTTTTAGAAATTATTAAATTTCAGAATTTGAAATTTTTTAAATTTTATTTCCTGGTGAAAAAAGAAATAAGAAGTATTTAATTATTTTATTTAGCAAAATTATACAAGTTTTGATTAATTGAATTTAGAAATCAGTGAAGAATCAGGGAAATAGAAAATAAAATATTTGTGACAACACTAAATTAAATAATCGACTTTTTCGACTTTTTTTCTATTTTTAATCGACTACAGCGACTTTTTTTGTTCGTTAAAGTCGATCCGAGGCCTGTAAATAATAAAACTCATCGCAGGATTTCAATTATTTTTAATTCAATTTTAAATAAATTTCTCAAAAAATTAAAAAAAAAATTCTTAAAATTTTTATTAAAATTCTCCAAAAAAATCAAATTATTAAAAAAAATTTTGATAAAGTTCTTTATATGAATTCAATTTTAAGAAATATTCAATTATCCAATGAATTATTTATTTTTGTATTGAAATAATTGAATTTTCGTAAAACTTTCTAATAGAAATTGATTTAAAACTGAATTTCAGTTAAAATTCAAGATAATAATTGAATGTTAGAAGCATTATAGTGTAAATTTTTAGAAATAAGTAGATTTCATATGCTTTTTAATCAAAATCTTTGAAATTTTAATTCTTGTAAAACTGTAATAATATTTAAAATTTTTTGAATAATTTTATTTAAAAATTTCAACATATAAATGATTGAATTTTGGAAGAATTACCTACAGTTTAGTAATTTTTAGAAATATTTAACTTTCAAAAAGGCTATACATTGAAATCATTTAAAATATTTTAATTCCTGTGGAAAATTTTATAGTTACCTATGTATTTAAATATTTATCTTAAAAAAAATTGTTCTACTTTTGAATGTGATATTCAGTCTCAAAGCTACATTTTGTTACTTTTTTTATAATGAATTATTATCGAGTACAAAGCCTGTATTTATTTACTTATTTTTCTAACAATAAAGAATAAAATAAAATAAAATTTCTCTTTTCAGAGCGGTCTAGTGAATATAATGTGCGGTTACAAAGTGCAAATGTTTCCAGTATCGGAAGCTAGTAAAAAGGTGTGGACCAATGGTTGTATCGATATTGTGCGAAGTTGGGCTGAGAGAAATCTTTACACGATAGCGGGAATTGCATTGGGTGTTGCATTGAGTCAATTGTTCGTTATCTATTTGGCAAAAACACTCGAGGGACAAATCGAACTGCAAAAATCACGTTGGCATTATTCCTGAGGTTGACCGCAGGCCACCTACCGCTATCATGTAAGCTCCTCGAACAGCAGGCAGGTGGCAAGCGGCCGATCCAGAGGACAAAATGCAGAGGCCAGTGTAAATGCCCGGATGGTGTTACTCGTCCTTTTTGCAATTTCTCTTTATGTGCTCTTTATACTCTCACTGATACGCCTTGTTCTCTATTTTAAAAACTATTTTCATTTATTTTTCAATAAGAATTAGTTTTCATCCGCGATTATACACTCTCACAAAAGAAAACAGACAGTGAATTTAGGAGGACTTTATCGCCTTGTGATTCTTGACAAAACTATTCTCACGTTCTCTGACGTTAATAATAATAATAATAATAATATACATATATAGTTAAAACAAAGTCGCCTTTACGCGAAAGAAAAGAACAAATAATTGTGTGATCTGAATATTTTTATGCTTTTCATTTTATTGCAATAATGAATCTTTTTAAAACGATTCACACGCCGAAATAATATTCGAAACTGAAAACTTGGAATTCATATTTTTGGATAGATGAAAGAAGAAGAAAAAAAAGAAACAAAGATAAAAAAAGATAAAAAAGAAAACTAATTTTTGTATAGATAAAATGCCAGGAATCTTTTCTGAATCTCGTAACTCTGAATAGTTCGATTCCTTAATTTTATGCGCTCTCGAATCTAAGAGTAAAAAATAATTCGAGTATTGCCATTTAATTTCGTATAAGATTACTTAATCTTTGTGATTTTTATATATAATATTGAGCGTTTGCTCTTTTCCCTCTTTTTTTTTTATTATTAGATTTAGAATAAAGAATAACATTATTAATGCTTTATTAATATTTTGAGAATTGAGAGATTATTGCCATCAGCGCAGGTTCATTTTATTTTTTGTTTTGTTTGTAAAATAACATTTCACGCATTTGTGGATAATTTCGATTGTCTATTGACTGACATATATGTTTATTTTATATACATTTTATTTTGTTTTTTAACGCACAGGAAATTGCGCACACAAATTTATTTTGGCATTCAAATATAAATTGTGAAATTTGAAAAATTTATACAAATTTACAAAAATATATTTGTAAGAGCCTTGTGCCAAAATTCCTTGCACATATTTTTCAGATTTATTATGATTATTATTTTTTTTTTAATTGTCCATTAATAAATCTGACAATAAACTTGCGTGAATGTATGAATTTCTTTGTTAAAATGCATGTCACATGCTGTATTGTATTTTTTATTAATGGTAAAATTGTAAGAACAGTATTGAAGTAATTCATAATTATATTGATCTTGTAGAAGGTTCTTTATATAGTTTTTAATATCATAAAAACTTATAAAATCTAAAGTCTAAGTCGCACTGCAGTAAAATTAATTGAAAAAAAAACATTGTAATCATACCAGTATTTAAAGTTGTAAAATTGTAGCAATACAATTTATTTATAATTGTACAATGACAACAATAGAATTATTTTTAATTGTATAATAGTAACGAGAAAAAAAGAACTACAATTATTGTATAAGATGATGATAATTGCCAGTGAAAAAAAAATAATGAAATGTACTCGATAATTTCTAAAAATGTACTGAGTCTATTTTTTATTAGAAGAAAAATTAGTTTACTGCAGTTAATATTATAAAATGAGTAATTTGTTCAAATTTTAGTATTTTTTACTTTACTCGACCAAATGTTGATCATATTCGATTGTAATTATTTTAGCTGTAAGTAGTCAAGCATAGACATACAAGACTTTTTGGAAATATTCGCTCAAATAAAATTTGTACTGAAAATAAATTTCGTTTTCTTTACAATATTTATTTTACAAATTACAATATTTTGAGACAAAATTTTATATTTTAGTAATCAAGATTTTTTATTTCACTTATAAACATATAGAAATTAGAAGAAAAAATATATAAAATTGTATTGTTTAGTAGTAATTGAGTTATTAAACAGTAATTAAAAAAACATCAAAATGTTTTACTTTTATAAATAGAGGGTTCTAATTTGTGATCATTGCAATATTCCAAAATTATACTTTGTCCGTCAATTAAATCTTTGCTGTTGAAAAGATCCAGTAGAAGTGTATCCATTTTCTCCGAGATAACGAGACCAGTTTCGTGGTGAAATATTCGTAATTTCTTTGAAGTTGATACATTATTGGAGTTTGGAATACCTAATAAATCAGCAATTGAATCAATTGTCTTTCCCATTGACCAGCTTATCGAGACAAATGCTCCTTTCGAGCTTCCAGCATTTTTTGTACTCGTGGGATAATAAACGAGAAAGTAACGTCGATCAGCCGTTGGTATTCCTTGGGAACCGATGGAACTACCTTTTAATTTCATAAGTTGCACCTGAAAAGAAAGTATAATTTTCAACAAAATTTTATAATAAACGATAAAGATAAATAAAATGAAATAAAACTGATAAAAAAATTAATTTAAAAAATAATCAGGGTTACCACAAAAATTTAATTTTGTTTTTCTCTGATTTCCAGACAAAATTTTTTGACTTTTTCCCTGACTCTAAAGATTATTATGATTCATTCTAAAAATTATTAGCTACTCAACAAAATGTTATATTATATTTATTTACGAATTTCTTTAATTGTAAAATTATTCGAAAACATCAATAAATTCTTCTTTAAATAAATATTTAATTATTATTATTATTTTTCCGTAGGAATTAACATGTGTGAAAATTTCAAATTCAACAACTTATAAGAATTATAAAACATGAAAATGTCGATTGATTCCTTCATGTTTTATAATAATTAAAGATGACTGAGTGATAAAATCAATATTTTATAGATATTATAAGAATATTGTTGCTGCAACTCCTTCAAAATTATTTACATAATTTCAATTCAATTATTATTTTCTGTCAATTTTTAACTAAAATTCTTCTTCAAATTAATTATTTTTAATAATTTTTGAAAAAGTTCTTTGAAAATTTTTAAATATCTATATTTGTTTATAATTCAATTTTACGAAATTTCGATTATTTGGAAATTCTTCAATTAAATATTATATTAGAAAATAAAAACTTCAAATAATTTATAAAAAAATCCGCAATTAAACTTTCTCAAAAAACTGAATTCCACAGAATTGTTAGTTTAAAATGTGGAAAATTCAGATTTTCAAAGAATTTAATTTCAAACCTTTTCAAAATCCAATTATTTCTTAAAATTCAGGCTAGGTATAATGCTTTTATTATTCAATTATTATTTAAATTTTTAACTGAAATTCAGTTTTATTAGAAAATTCTACGAGAATTTAATTATGTAAATACAAAAATAAATAATTTATTGAATAATTGAATGTTTCTCAAAATTGAATTCTTTTGACTAAATTAATATTAATTTATTAATTTTATTAATTAATAAAATTGTTAAGAATAATTACAGTTTTCAAAGAATTCAATTAAAATTTTATTAAAAGTAATTGAAAGTCTGCGATGAGTTTTATTATTTATGAAAAGAATTGAATTGTTGCAAAGAAATTTATAAAAAATTTGTGAAATTTGTATTATTTATGAAAAGAATGGAATGTTTGAGTAGAATTTTATCAAAAGTTTCTTTAAATAATTGAATTCTTTTGGAAAATTTTATTAAAATAGTTATTTTTAATTATTGAATTGAGAAAAATTTTTGAAAATTGAAATTTTGCCAAGAATTTTATTAAAATTTTTGATAATAATTGAATTTTGGAGAAGAGTTTTATTATTTATAAAAATAATTGAAAGTTTAACGAGAATTTAAAAAAATTTTCAACATAATAATTGAATTTTGACGAAAGAATTTTGTTACTTTTGAAAATTATTATAATTTCTGCATTCATTTGTAACTGCTATTTCAGAAGAATCTGAATTAATAACATATTTTTCAAAAATCTACGTTTCTTTAAGATTTCTATTTAAATTCATTAAAAATTGAAATTTTACAAAATTTCAAATTAAAACCTTTTAAAGTTAATCTATTTATGAAAATTGTAAACGTAACTTTTTTAAAATTCAATTAATTTTGAAATGTTGAAGTAAAATTATTCATTAAATAATTTACAAGTAATAATTTTATTATATAGTTTTTGAAGAATTAAGTTATTTAAAAAGAAATTATTGACGGAAATAGAAAAAATTGAAGGTTTTATATTAGAATTTATGGTAATTTCATAGTTTATGAGACAAACAAAAAAGTCACAAAAATACACAATTTTCTTATCAATTCTAAAAATTTAATTTCTTCCACTACTTTTAATAAAAATCTCTGACTTTTTCCTAAATTCCCTTGACCTGTGGTAATCCTGATAATGAAATTAAAATATAAAGTAAATTATTTTAGCGAATAAAATTCCTACTTTAATGGCCATTGCGGAATTTTTTGATTTTTTAAGTTTCTCCTTTATCGTTTGATCGACGGCAGCTTTTGCATCAGCAAAATCTTGTTTTGGTTTGTCCCATTTTTTCTTCTCTTGTAATTTTTCCTCTTCACTCAATTCCAAACAGCCATGATAACGATGAGCGAGACAAAAGTGTTTTTTACATACAATACATGGCATCTCAATCACAGACGTTAGACTGCAAGAAATATCCGAACAACAGTAGGATGTTAATTTCTCCATATTTGTTGCAACATTGTCGACAAATTGAGAGCACGAATGTGAAATTACGTGAAAATGTTCCTTACAAAATTCTAATTTACAATGATCACATGGTGTTGATAGAAAATCTAATTGTTTGCATTCCTTCCAAGAGCAACGATTTCCTGTTGTGGGGAACTCCATTTTTTCTCACCCTCGAAAAAGAAACAAATTTTTTGAAATTTATGTTTAGGTGGGAGAATTTATTTTTAGATTAAAAAATTAACTGTGCGATGTTGTTGGCGAGTGGAGATGATTTTCACTGAGAGTTCCAAGAGCGAGATTTGTCCACTTTTGCTCCAACTCCTTGAGTGTCATGTGAGAATCGCCGTTGTCACTTTCAGGATCGGGTAATTCCGATAAAGGTACAAGAATATCATCAAGGGGAAGTTTCTCCTTTCGCCATGCGTCGTCAATTAAATCCAATAGTCTGCCGTCTCCACAAACTTGACTGTCCATTACGAGATATCGGAAACTAAAATTAGAAATATTGTAAAGTCATTTACAAAATAATTTGAACGTAAACATTTGTTTGTAAAAACATTTATGTAACACTCTAATTGTTGTATATTGATATTATAGGAAAATTTCTTTACAATCTTACCGTATTTAATAGTTTAATACTTAAATTATAATAATAGACGTTTATTAATTAACATAATAATTAGTTTGTTTACGTTTACAAGATTTACGATTTTTTAAAATTTACTTTAATTTTAGGTTAGGTTAGTAGCTGTCAAACCTTTTGGCAATTTCCTCAACTAAGAAGAAAATACTTCTTTATCGACTGTAGAATTTTAGTCGACACTACTTTACCAACACTTTGCAGCCGATAGTTTATTTCAATTGGCGCTGCTGTATTCTGCTCAATTCTGCTTTTGGCGGCATTGTCATAACAAAAGTTCTTTTTTTCTCCTCATCATTAATCATTATTATTACAATATAGTTTCAAAGTAAAGAAGTTAACTCCAAACTACTTTGTTCATTTGACTGCAACAAAAAAATGCAACCGAAGAATAAAATTCATATGTATTTGTTTCCAAGTCCATAGGTAACCTAATTATTTCTTACAATCCTGTTCGTGACTCTGTGTAAAACTTATAATTTATCTATTTCGCAAATTTCCTAGCCAACATATTATCATTGATTCTGACTTTAATAACTCGTGGTATAAAGTTGAGATTTTCATTTTCAGTTGGAAAGTAAACTTGTTATTGCCGTTCCTACATTAAAGTGGCACGAGATAAAAGTTTGCGGCCTCTTCCGAACCGGCGTGGCGTATGTCATTGTGACTCAGTTTTAAAATTGTAAGTATTTATAATTTCATCTTTTCAGGGAAAATAAAGGGTAAATTATCGGTTTTCATGAGGATTTTCATATTGTTGTCCTAATTTTGAAGATTTAGAATATTTTGTAGTAGTAGTAGTGTTTAACATTGGCACTTATACTGGCGTTGCGCTGTGTATATTCGGCCATTAGAATATTTTGTAAATAATTAACCTATAAATTGTCAAGTATAATAATCGTGTCAATGACAGGTGAAATTCGGGTTCCCGTCAACAGGAGCTAATGCTTAATGGCTCAAGTTTCTTTAAAAAGTTTCTTCATTGTTCACGGTTTTTTTAAATCAATCAATCCAAAAGTTGTTGGCGAAACTTGCAATTTCTTTTTTTGAAGAACTTCAAGACAGTCAGTTTTGATAAAATTGTGAATAAATTATCGCCATTGTCGCTGATTTCAATTTGATGTACAGTTTTCTTATAGGTATCGGTAACGTAAAAAAAACGGAAAAAACAAAATTTCATTTATTTTCACTTCATTGGTTCTTGCCTTTTTTAATTATTATACATTTTAATCAGTAAAAAGAAGATATTTTTTCAAAAGATTTATATAATTTTATTTATTTTACTATTGAAAGTGAATATTGACATTGACAATAATTTTTGTGTCTCATTTTATATAGGGTTATGTTTTTTTATTATTTGCGTATAATGGGTATAAGGCAATTTTTTAGTAATAAAAATCATTTCAATTATGGACGAACAATTTTATTTCTTTATAAAGTTAAATCAATCATCACCGAAAATACAAAAAATGAATTTTTTCGAAATTTATTTCCTATTTGCTGTTGAAAATATGTTTCGCAAAATTACTTTTTCTTTAGTGTTCAAAGTTTCTTTCTTTAGTGACTAATGAAAAGAAAGTAAATATTAGCTAATTATTCTAAATCTTATAAATTTAAAATATTATTTATTTTATGAAACAATATTTTTTTGGAAAATTTTTTTCGAGTTCATAAGACAATTCTAAATTTTGGCGTCTTTTTTGTTTGCCTCATAACCCCCACAGCACCGTAACTTTCCTAAAAATTTATTAAATATTTACTTGCAATCTTCGCCTAATTATAATTATAATTAGGCGAAAATATCATTTAAATGTTCAGGAAATTTTCACACTAAACATTTATTTAATCGGGACATTTAAATCTTTACAGAACTTTTAATAAACATTATTGGAATTAAATATTCCGAATATTGCAAGTAAATATTTAATAAATTTTTAGGAAAGTTTCGGTGCTGTGGGGGAAAATATGAAATTACCTACCACGAATTTTAATACAAAATTATGTTAAAAAATTTTGAAAAATTCTCGTCAAAATTTTGAAGTATCTTTATAAATAATAAAATAAATTCTTCTCCTAAATTCAATTATCGTTTAAAATTTTAATAAAATTCTTCGCAAAATTTCAATAATTTTCAAAAATATTCCTCAATTTAATGATTTTCAATATCTAGTATTCTAATAAAATGGTCCAAAAGAATCCAGTTATTTTAAAAAAAATGTTAATAAAATTCTACGTAAACCGCTAATCATTTTTATAAATAATAAAATTTTCACGGGAATTCAATCATTTACAATTTTTTAAAAACATCTCAATAATTTAATTATTTTTTCAATAATTCCATTATTTTCATAAACAATACATTTTTTTTAGAATAAATTATTGTAACAAAATACTAATTAAGAATTACAAGCAAATACAAAAATTCAGTAAGTTTATTAGTTTATAAATTTTAAATAGAATTAAAATAACAAATTAGGGAATTTAAAGAAATTACTAAAATAAAACGCAATAATTTTTATACATTAATGTAAGTCGTTTAATAATAAAGCTCTCCGTTTTCTGATTCTATACAAAAGTCTTACAAATTGTTATTTCCCGACATTTTTCATAATAATACCTATTTACCGATAACGCTTCCCTATAAAATCTTCCCCAAAAGAAAAGAAAAAGAGCTCGCGTTTATGCAATCGAATTTAAATGACGCGAGACAATGCTCTGATATCAAAATATTGCCAAAAAAGAGGGGATTAGGATTTTTTAACAATATTAATTGATAACCCACAAAGATATTACGCGTCATCAAACCAGACTACGAACATACAAATTTCTCGATCAACACTCTCGACTCACATACATCCAAACACACATTCACAAAAAACAATATTCAAATGATACTCAATTTTGATGAGGCCTTGGTGTGGATGATGCGACTCGGATCGGTGATGATTAAACTTCCTTCCAATAGGATAATCGAAGCGTTCTTCCTTCAAAGGTAAAATTATGATGCGAGGCGTCCCTCGAGAATATCACAACCAACAGGATGGGAATCAATCGTGGTGAGAGACAAAGAGACTTATCCAAAAAATGCACATAAACTGTCCACAATCACAAATATTGTTGGAACAACAATCCAAAGATCAGTCACGTGAATTCACTTAACAATATAAATTAAACAAATGCCGAAACTTGGCGAAAATTGTTTTATAGAAAGAAAAACTTGCAAGTAAAAGTAAATGTTCTTTTTCAATTTCGTACATACGAATTTAAATTGTGTTTTTGTCAAAAGGTAAAATGATAGTGCCAAATTTTCTCAGTGTCTCCAGAAATTCCCCTCTTTGTCATTAAGTCTCCTCCCAGCCTCGGGCCCAATTGGTGAAACCACCTCTCTCATCAATTAGAAATTTCCCTCTTAATGAAAATAATGTGTATGGATTCCCCACATCTGCCCCCTTTTCTCCTGGCTGTTCTTTGACTTGCTTCAAATGAAAATCGAAGGAGAAAAACTGCCGACCCAAGTCTTCGTTAATTGAGTTGCGACGATACAATACTTGTCAATTAATTACATACATAACATGTATTCTTCTTTCATACAAATAAGATCTTTTCTGAATAACAATTCAATTTTTTTTTTTAAATTATGTAAATATAAAATCACACATGCACACAAAGATCGAATAAATAGTTGCGATTTTTTCTTTATTTTTCCATTTCTTTCTTTTTTTTTTTTGTTTTTATAAAATAAAAATGTTATTCGAAGAAATAAGTTTTCTCCGAATTTTTGTCAAATTACATTTACAAACACTGCATCTCACACATATATATATATATATTTTTTTTTTTAAATTTACACGTTTATGGATAAAATTAATAACATTTTACGCTCATAATTTATTCCCATTCCATCTCATATTCCTACATATATAAATATATACCAATCTCACCTCATTAACCCTGAGCACATTATTTCTCAAAATTTAGACGTTACTTTATTTATTTATCTATTTTTTTTTTTTTTTTATTCTTCTTCTTCTGAATTTGAATGATATAAACGAAGATCCGTTCTATTGTAAATACCTTTAACAGCAAAAGGCGCGTCAATATGAGTCAATTCGCACGCATTTGATCCGAAAATACGATTAATGCGATATGGGCCATAATATATATGAAAAAATTTCGAAATTTTCCCGTCTTCTTTGCTCGATTGATGAGGAACTTTTAGTAATACGAGTTGTCCTATTTTAATTTCCACTTTACTTATTGTTTTTTGATTCTCATTTCGTACTTCACAAGCCCTTTTAATTTTTGATTTCGCTATTTCGATTTTTTCAAGGTGAGATACTTCTTGCCCATCCGGAAATTCTAACAGTGTTCTGATTTTGTCAATTGGATTTCGTCCATAATGCAATTCATACGGGGTATATTCGGTAACGCCATTCGTAGAAAGATTAATCCATTCTTGGATTTTTTTAACATATAAGGACCATCGCGTGTGCCTATCGCTACAATAAGTCCGAAATAAACGTCCTATTTCTCGCATAACGCGTTCGGCTGGATTCGATTGGGGATGCCTTACGGAAACAAACGTCGACTGCACCTCGTTTTCAGCCAAGAATGCACCCCATTTATGTGAGGTAAATTGCGTCCCATTATCGCACAGGACACGCCTAGGTCTCGCGACAGTCCGAAAATAATCTTTCATTTTATTTATCGCTGCTTCGGTCGTCTCTCGCTTTATTGCGAAAAGTGTTACTAGTTTTGAAAACACGTCAATTAATACAAATATATATTTTACACCCCCAGTCGATTGCGGGAGAGGCCCAAAAAAATCAATTGCCACTGTATCGTTAGGTTTGTCCGCTATAACATTTCGAAAAGCCCCTGTCATTGAGTAATTTATCGATTTTACTCTTTGACACAGATCGCAATTGATAACGAATCTTTTCACACTCAATCGCATCCCCTTCCAATAATAATTTCTCGCCAGATCTTTAAAAGTCTTATATGCTCCCATATGACCATTATCCTCATGAACGCGCGATGTCAATTTATTTATTATACTTTCCGGAACGACCAGTCGCCATAAACTTTCTGTTTGCGTTTTATAAAACAAAATTTCATTTTTTACGCAATATCCTTTTAT